CGAGTGCTATCGGGCAAGAACAAGACTGACGAAACCAAAGAAGTGTGTCCTTGGAAGGGCTCACCCAATGGCAGTCCCGTCGCTGCATCCCACAGCCGGACAGTGGAATCTGAAGAACCAGACACGATGCAAGTGCCATCGGGCGAGAACGAGACCGACGAAACCCATTCAGTGTGCCCATTGATGACGGTCTGAATAGCCGTCCAGTTCACAAGACGTCCATGTATCACACAAAGAGTGCTCGGAAACCTTGCAGTAAACTTTGTAGCTATCGTGGAATTGGTGGGCGAAAATGGCAGCGCTGATACATACAGATGCGGCGTGCTGTGCAAAATTATCGCACCAAAGATTTGGATGAATCTCTGCACATCCATTACAGTGGACAACACATCTTTGTATTCGGATTGGTCCTGTGTTCGCGGGTGAGCACTTCGCCTGCCGCCAGATCACTCTGTTCTCACCTTCAGCCACTGGGAAATGAGTGGAAGCACGGCAACTGCGCTGCCGAGTGCTTCAATCCAGAACAGTAGCCGCTCGTTGTCGGGGGAGTGATCTTATTTCCTTTGCGAGCTTCAGGTTGAAGGCCGTTGCTCGTATGTGCGTAGCCCAAAATCGGCAGGAATAGGACAGATGCGAGGGAATGCATCTTGTGACTCGATCCTGCAGCCCGATGTCTTCGCTATTAGGGCAGTATGAAGACTTTAAATTACACATATTGAAGCGAAGGTTGTGTTCCATCACTCCAAGTGACGCAAAAGCAAGATCACATTGGGTGTTCGACAAGTCCATGAAAAAGTCTTTGCTGGATGATTTGTCTGTCAGGAATTCGCGGAAGGATGCGTGAAGCGGTCGGATGGGGCTAGATGGGTTGGTGGCACTGCTTAGCAGGGATCCCATATGTTTTACCACATCTTCCACTTTGTACTGCACCCTTGTGTCTGGAAAATGATTCTGCATGGCTTCCAGGGCATGTAAAGGGAGTGGCCTGGCCGAACCAAGTATTTGTCCCATCACGGAATGAAACCTCGCTAGCGCTCGCTGATAGCCGCCTTCTGTGATATATCTGTCCCTCCGTATATTTTCTTCTAAAATGAAGGTATATATGCCATACAACAAGCTGTCCCGCTCTCCATTTTTGTAGGACATGACATCATTGAAGCGATCGATTGCGCATGAGCCAAGAGTGGTTTTTCGGATGTATTCGCATGCAAGACGCGCCCACTCGAATAATCCACCAGCTTTGTCGGCGAGGTCTGCGAACTGTTCATCCCGAAAATCTGGCAGCTCTTTCAGCTTCTCAGACACAAAAGCACGGATGTCGCTCTTTGAAACTGCTGGTAGAATGTTGTCCATGGATAACCGCAGAATATGTTGAGCACCACGAAATGCATCATCAATATCAGGAAGTGGGCGAGAGGTGACGAGAATCCAAAAGTTGGGAGGGAGTTCGGTGATTTGGGGAAGATCTTTCTCCTGAAGTTTCCCAGCAAGTATGCGGAGAAGGCTACTCCGTGTCTCGACTTCGCCGCTCTCGTCCAGTGCTTCGATCACAATTAAGATGGGCCTCACACTTGACCTAGAATACTCTAGCGGTTTCATAAACAGCTTGTCACCCAGTTCGTTACCTGTAGGGGCATGAGTGGATGTAAAGTCAGAAGCACACCCGAATCCTTACCCGTACACCGGACAAGATTGGCTATGTCCCGAATAGCTTGGTCCCTAAATTGTTGCATAAGCCTATCCAAAGCGTCGTTGTATTGTGTAACCAGATCATCCGTCCCCGAGACAACATTTTTCCCGAGTCTCTTCCCTGTGATGGTATTAGATTGACAATATGCAGAGTGCAATAGCTCGATGACTTACAAAAGCTCTCCTCCGAGTAGTCCCTGATGAAACCCGCGCACTCTAAAATCTGCTGGGCAATCCGTCCAGCGATACTGCGCTGGGTCGGAATCTTGCTAAGAGTGTCGTCTTGTGACATGAAGCGGTAAACATCTTCTAATTTCGTGAGAAGAGATTGTACCGATTGGTCGTGTTGCGTTTGTGCGAGAATAATCTGCATAGAGTCAACAACTGCTGAACAGGAGGGGGAGCTACACATACTTTGGATGCAGCAGACAGCACACCCAACACCATCTTCGCATAAGGATGTACCTATGCAACTTGATTAGCTCGCTTCCAACCAAGAAGTATTCGCAAGATTCTCAATGACAGTGTCAAAATTTTTGAGTGGTTGAAGATATGTAGTCTGGAAATCATCCGCAGCATCGAGATCTTTTGAACCATCCTTGGCTGCGGATGTCACAGACTTGCCATGTCCCCCGAGTAGTCTCATGTTTCCCGTATGCTCACGGGTATCTTGAAGCTTAGCATCAACTGATTTGAAATCAGGGATCTCTTCCACGCCAGATGAAGCCTGATCCTGTGCCCAACCAAAATTTAGAGACGAAAAACAAATCATTTGGTGTAAATACCTTCGAAGCAGGTTCTCCGGGCGCTCCTTGGTTTACACAACCACTGGGATTCTCAGGGATGTTATCATCGGAAGGATGCAGATGCGACTCATCCTTGGTGGACCTCAGACAAGTTCAAGATTAAAATAACGAGCACCTACCTCAATATTCTGATTCGATGAGGCACCTTGATGAGTATCGTTCTGGACAGCAGGGGTTTGGTGGCGAGCACACTTGAAGCGTTTCTGCATAATATGAGCCATATTCCGCTCCCCCCACATTCATGTGGACGTACAGAAATCTTTTTGGTCGCATTCTTCTTAAGTTTCCGCAGGGTCTGACGGAATCCGTTATGGGGCTGGTTCTGGATGAAGGATGCGTCAGAGGCGGCGACAATGTTATTAGCACTCGTCCACAGTGATCTCATAAGGGCACATACCAAGCTCTCGCCAGCAGCTGCTTCTCTGGATCCAGAGGCCCCTGGAGGAAGTTTCGGCCTGTGGTCTTTGGTCATTGTAAACAGTCAAAGATTGGGATCAGCCTGAGGGAATGTATGGAAGAATTAGAGGGAGGGGAGAGTACTCGGTAGAACGAAAATCAAACCAGCACCCTAATATCCTCGAGGCAGCGCTAATCATTCAGCCACGTTCAAGTCATGATTGAGTAGGCAGTATGGTTTACCATGGAAGAAGCTCGATTTATTTAAAGTTACTTATGCAATACATACATATGCATATGTGCATGGGCATGTTAATGGAAGCACAAACTATGGAAAGTGGGAGTGATCTAGTGTCAAGTGATCAGACAGTTTCTACCAATACAAATCGAAGCCTTGTCCAAAAATAAAATAAAATCTGTCTTCCTATAGTTCACATGGCCACCATGTCAGGAACTCATGAGTTCTCTGATGCGCATCGCGCAAAGTCCAGGATGTTGACAAGTGCATATTACAACATTCCAGCCTATGAAGGACCACATTGGACTAAAATGTTGACTCAGAAATTCACAACTCAGCTCGGTCACGCGGTAACTCAACTCGACAGTTTGCAACTCAACTCGACACGTGGTGACTCAACTCGGTTTACACTCAACTTCTGCAACTTACATAACTCAAGTTGTCGACTCACCGACTGTTGAACTTGTCCGACTCAACTTGAACTCGAAACTACTTACTCACAAATTGATTTGCATTATGACAACTGTAGTAGGCTCTGCCATGAGTGGCCATTCATACGATATGGTGAAAGTGATATGAGCATTATGTACTTGGAGGGAATGAACGTGCAAATGTTAATGGAAGACATCACTGAGTGAGTACAAGACAAGGCTGAGGAACAGGTGCAACGGACAAGTGCGTGCAATGATAATGAGTAGTATGATAACAGCGAGTAGTGCAGCAAGGAAATACAGAGGGAGAGACAAGTACGTGCCATGATAATGAGTATAGTGACGGTCAATAGTGCGGCAATGGAATACTGATGAAGATGTGAAACATTACGCTGATAATGAAAAGTGCAGCAAGGAAACAGAGGATATGAAAAATTACAATGATAAAGGGAAATGTGCTGAGAAGGAGTCCTCACCGACTGCAACCAATGCCATGTGAAGGCATACATCAAGAGGGGATGCTCCTTCATCAACCTGGAATGGCGCACACAACCAGTTCATGAGTGGCGGTGTCTTACTAGGATATGAAAGGCAAGAAAATCACCAAATTTCACAATCCTCCATGGTCAACGGTTCAGACAATTACCAACGGTTGATAACGTGGTTGTTCGTGGGGGACAAGGTGTGTTGAACTTTTCAAGTGAACACTAGTGATGTAGAAGGGGCAAAGAAACGATAGAAACTAATAACAATAGAAACCAATAAGTAGCACAAGATAGTGCTATAACCTTTAGAATAATGTGTTGCAGCTGTATGCAATAAATTAGAACTATACTATATCCCTCTTGGATATTCTTTACTTATACTTCAGCAATGGAGAACAAATTCACTAGCGGGATCGTCCCAATACGTGGCCTCGAAACCAACTCTCTGCTGCTCAGGATCTCACAATGAGTAATGACGCAATCCAGAATAGAGTACACCTTCTTGATGTAGTCTTAAGTGGCCAAGCTCTTAATATTCGTTGACAGATTGTAGGTCTTATTTGTGTCTACCCTAATTGATGAATAATACGTGAAATTCTCCCCACAGAACTTTTCCTGTGTCTAAAAGAGAACTAGAATGATTGAAGACGATAGAATCAAAGTTGGCTCAAGAATGTGGCCAAATACTTCTGAAGAATGTGAAGTATAATGTCAAAACAATGGAGCTAAATAAGCTAATATTTCTCCTGATATTCACTTGAATGTTCACTCAAATAATGGGGACAAAGAATCTAAGGGGTGAAAGAATGTTCCCCTACGTTCCCCTAACTGTGCTTCACTCTGTTAATACTTGGGAATCAAATTGATTGCTTCACAAGAGGGGAAAATGAGCCCCCTTATATACTACTAGACTAGTGGCTGTGCTACTGATTACTAATGTACTATAGAATATTCCAGAATGTGTCAGAATTATTGAGAAAGAACTATAGAATGTTATATAATGTCATGGAATGTCATGGAATGTCATAGAATGATTGGTAAGATACTCATAGAATGTTCTAGAATACTCAGCAAAGGCTGTGTTCAGGTCCTTCTAGCACTGCCTTATTGCTGTACATTGATTACCAATCCATTCCAAGCTATTTGTTGTATATCTTGATTTGGTTGGCATCACTGCCTTGAGTACATAGGTGTAAATAAAGTGTGCATAGAATGTGTATGTACATATGTTTGGCATAGGGGTAAATAAAATAAAGAATTATAGAAAGGGTAAAGGGTACGTTAAGTATTTAATTTGAACCACTAAGTCGTATCTTGGTGATACATGCTCAGAAATGTCCAAAGTAAATTGAAGTAAGGTATAGAAAATTCAGGGGAAGTGCATAGACTATAGTAAGGAATTGCATGTATCATAAATTTGCCATGACCATGTACGAAACAGGTTTCGTGCGTGTCATCGGGTTCATGAATATGTCAAGCCTAAGCATGCAGGCATGTGCAATGGGCGGAATGAGATCGGTTTCTGGCTACAACAGAGGCGGTCAGCCTTGAGAATACCATTAGCACATTATAACTTACGTTTAGATGACCATTGAACGTGGCATCAGCTGGGACATGCTGTGTAACATTGACCTAGATGTCGAGAAACTATGATGAGACACGACCAAAAACAGAAAAGTCACATACCATAAATCGTGCTAGAGGGTCTGCTGGCACCAAGGGAATTCCACTTAACACCTTAACAAAATGGAGTGCACGGTAGTGTGGAGGCATTGCTTCATCGTCATGTAGACTTTCGAATATGGAGTGACGGGGGTGGCCTTTGCCATTCAAATACTTCAGGACAGCGCGTTTGAACGTGCGAAGATAGGGAGACAATCGAGCACGAAAGTTTTCATCACTATCAACCTCAAAGCATAGCATATTCTCCAAGACATCAGCAGTTGGATGGTGATCATAGATTGATCGAAGAATGCTACTGAAACTTGGTTGTAAAATCTGATGGAGGTTTTTACTAGTATCAGTTCAAGACAGACAGGAATTAGCAGTCAACATACCTCAGAGAGCGAAGGAATGGATGACGTCACATGGAGGTCAAATCCATCTTTAAAAGCCTGGTACTCTTGGGAGTTGACAAACTCATCATGGGAGTAACTGAGCAGGGCAGCACAAATCAAGTCCCGGCGTACCATTGGCCAGCGTTCTGACGGGGTGCCTCGAATCTCACCAAACTATGTTTTGAAATAAACCATGGAACATTGTCATACAAAAACAGCAGCACTTACGTCGGTCATCAGATGAGATTGACAAATTCTTGTGATATGATCTCAGTTCACTCCATCCATGACAAGGTTGGACACATTCTCGTCCTCGGTGGGCAGTGACTTGATAATGTTGGCCAAGGTAGGGAATAGATTGTCGCCAAGCCACAAATGGTTTGATTCTGAAGTTGTCAGAGACAAGACACCATTTACGATGAAGCTCAAAAGAGCTGGTGAGATTGGATGCGGCCCATTTTGCACCTGAAGAATGTGCAAGGCACAGAGACGACCAATGGCGAAAATGGTGGCAAGTTTTTTAGAAGAGGGGAACCACGATAGCTTGAGAGCCCAAAAGTCATCATCAAGTTCAATGCAGACGTCACCCTCTGCAAGTGCCAGATTATCTTCATTACTACCGTCAGATGTCCAGGAAACACTTTTCCGAAGGGCAGTGTGAATTACTTGTCGCATGATGCCGTTACCAAAGCTGTCAGTTGCGTTACGATGACCACTAATGCGAGGAGTCAGTAAATGCAATGCGTCTCATGAAGGAAATATATTATTCACGCTTGAAAATGCCACACAGGTATTGAGAATATGGACTTCATGTCCCCAACAGTAAGATCATGCTTCACCAGGTTCTCCCGTCAGTAGATAGAAAAAGTGCCATGCAGGTTAGGATTGGTAAAATTCAATACGTCCGAGTCAAGAGCACCGCCTTCACTGAGCCGCTTATAGTAATGTTGGAAGACATCAATCATGCCATTAGCCGCGTCTGTTACAGTATTGGCCTCTATGCACAGGGTAGAATCAGAGTAGGCCTGGTCGGCAGAGGAGTGAATAGCTTGTGATAGATCAAAGAGATCACGAATATTCCCTGCATGGAAAGGGATCAGAGGGGCGACCGACTCATCATAAGATTGTCTCAATGGAAGCGTGTGAAGAGTTCTACCCGATCGCGATAAGCTGTCAGCCATGGCATCAGGTAGGAGGTGGAGAGTGGGTGAGATGGGTGACAATGCTGGCTGTGAATGGATACTGGAGGCAGGTGCAGGAGGCCTGCTGTAGAATTAGACTTTCAGGTGATGAGGAAGGGGTCCTCTGGTGTTGTCCATGCTGCAATGGATGAGGTGATGCAGAACGGTCTCTACTCAGATACCAAGGAACTCGACCAGCCAGTGTGTTGCCTGATGATGTAATAATTTCAGTTGAAGGTGATGCAGAGCGTTCACTATTCTGATAGCGAGGAACAGCACTAGTCAAGCTAGAGGAAAGACTAGCACCAGAGCTGGAGGACACCATCATCAATGAAGAGGATGAGGATGGGGTTGATAATATCGAAGGCGTTGGAGGGGTAGGTGCATCTTCTGGACATCTAGTCTTACATGGGACAGTGAAGAAACGTCCAGGGACAGATGGAGTGTCATCGAAGCCCTGTACTAGGTGGCCCATGATGCGGTTGGCGAAGCAGAAATGTTGATGGGGGGACTTGGGCTCCACCAGTCCAATGAGAGGTCCACCTTTTGGGCCTGTTGAACATATTTAGCGCTTCCAACTAAGTGAGAAAACATCCAGAACATACAAAGAAATAATAGTCCAGTGGAGTGGTCATCTGGCGCTCGGACTCTCTCACATTTCTTCTGGAAGGTAGAAAATCGGAGCTCCTGGAATGAAAATGAATGGTCAACACGCAGGTATCGTTGACCCTGATGGGCGTTAGAATACCCAGGAACAATAAATCGGAAGGGAAGATTGTGAAAATCTGTGCGGACATCTTGATTGAGTTCATCTGGAGCAAGATCCAGGGGATCGGGGTTATATGATGGGAAACAAATATTGGCGTCGATGGTTATGTCTGTAACTGCTTTGATCAAGTCGGCCAGGACATAGTCGTCAGCATTTCGGCGCTGAAGGGTAAGCTTCTTCGTGAGGCCATATCTAGAGAGAAAACGAAGATCTGAAGCAAGCTCTTCGCCTGTACGCATCTGTTGTAGAGACTTGCGTTTCTGCAGGCACATATGGGCACATTTCGCACCTTTTCACAACTCATGACAATTGGCCTGCAATGCACGACTCGCACCATCAGCTATATTCGACTTCTATCATGTCCCTAGTCGTTTTACACATAACGCGCAGCTTTCCTGTGAAACGCGCCATAGGCGCGGTACTTTCCCACACAATGCGCAGCATTCCCACACGCGCACCTTGCGCGCTTTCTCGCGCTTAAGCGCCCTGCATTGCCCTGCATTGCCCTTCATCGCCTATCATCCAGGGACGTCCGTCTATGTCCACCCACCTCATTGGTACGTCATATCCCTTGCCTCGTGGTTTGTAACAAGCATTGCAGCGCTATTACATGTCATTACGTATTCATAGCGCTTATTGCTCCTATCCCTTCCGCTTCCGATGCAATTTCCATAGTATAAAGTTTGCTGACTTACTACTCCATCATTATTACTCCCCTTTGCTGTACTTCCCTCGCTATTGGGTTTTACCTTAGAGTAGTAGTCACCACTTGGGCGCACTTTGTGTTTCCAATGGTTATCGTTATCCGCCTATACTAGACCTTTATCCGCGCTCGTTATAACTCTCACTCTGTGTTTGCACTCGCTTTGCACATCCGCTTCCTTATCCGTTTCCTTATCCGGTATTCTCCACACAACGCGCGCCTTAGCACTCACGTTCCCACGCTCGCGCTTACCTTAGTGCACTCTCTCGCGCTTCGCGCTCACTTTGCTTTTCTTCTTGCACTTTCACACATCTATCGCACTTCAAGGGTCTTTCTTTCATCTGGTTCTGTGTTCAGTAGCAGTCCCCTTTAGGGTCAAACGTTCTTGCATTCTGCGAGTATAGCAGCTAGGCAGAGCCAAGACTCACTTATACTGGTTGAGCATTTTTAGATATTTCATATCAGCCCAGCCAGGTTGAGATCACCTCACCGTGTGACCGAGAGAAAGTCTTCGTCCATGAAATCTGGAGCATCTTCATTACAAACATTTGAGAGCTGCATGCACAGTTAGTGTATACTCTGTGCGAAAAAAATCCTTCATAAACCTACATCCTTGGGTAAAAGAACTATCAGAACCTTCAAAGTCACACCACTCCCTGGGACCCTTGGCCGTGCAGGGCGCATGATACCAGTGCCCCTGGTTCGGCCGCGGGCATTATATGTGGGCATGGAAACACCAGACATTGGTACCCCAAAGGCTGTTTGAGTGACGCGTGATGGAGTGTAACCAGTCACCAAAGACATTGTGGTGGTTCCTGAGGATGTGTTGGTATATGAGGGAATGGAATGACGTGGTAAGTTCGCAAAGAAGTTCTCAGAGTTTCGAATGCCTGAGGGCTCCCATGGTAACACCTGTGACTCGGCAACAGGTAGAAGAGAAGGAGCAGTATGAGGTGGCCTGAACGATGTACTTGATGCTATAGTGGGTGATGCTGAAACAAGCGGGCTATGAGCATTATAGCCGAGCAAGCATCCACCACAGGGCTGACGAAAATTTGTTATCTATCATCTGAAATTAGAATGTTGCCAAGCATCAATTCAAGGTATAGACTGACAGGTGAATTTTGCACCGTCCGGTAACCTAGACATGATATGCCATTCATTTGTAGACCTCCTCGAGGAGGGAAATTTGCGGCAGGATGTATATGTTGGCTACGTCCATGATTGCAGTAACAGTCTGACTGTAAAACTAGTGAGCAAGGATCAACATCAAAAGCAAGACATACCTCTGGGTCCAATGGCGTACTTGGTGTATATGCAGCACAATCATCACTGCACGAGCAACATCTACCAGGAATGCCAGGATTAGTGGACATGACAGGGCAGGAGGTGGGGAAAAGAGACAAAGCACGAATGAGCAATCTGTAGCATTTGATCTAAGGCGTCAGTTAGTAACCAGCTGCTTCTTTCACAATGCATTTTCTATTATATTGCTTCTCCACATTGGAGAATTCTTTCCTCCACTCGTGTGCCAGCCAAGTGAAAGCCCACCCCTCCTAGTGCATGTCCCTAAAGCATCCATTGCTAAATCGCACCCATCTCCTTCCTGACAACCTGTGGCGCCTTCATCGCAAGTGCTCTTGCACCTACCCCAAACAAAGCAGCACAAGTGGATTTCGATGGTCCAAGGATATTGTATCGTGAACGTGGGTAACAAAAACAGACCATGCTTTCAAGAAGTCCAGATGCAGGATCTTGATGACTAGGAACACCAATAAAAGATCCAATCAACTGCAATGCAAAACTCTTTAAAGACACTTACTTACTAAAGTAGATGTAGAGATTTGACAAGAACAGACGCGAACGAACAAAAGGATTGGACTCATACAATTGCTACCCAGAACAGGATTAGTAGACATGGCAGGGCAGGAGGTAGGGAAACAAGACAAAGTGCGAATGCACAAAGCATCAATAAGCAACACATTCTCATCTGTAGCATTTGATCTAAGATGTCAGGACTCAGTTAACCAACTGCTTCTCTGCCCATGTGCAAGCCAACCATCAGACCAGAAATAGTTAAATCAAATCTTGAAATCGGTGCACTATGAACTAGTATAGGTAGCATGATCATGGTAATGATGCAATGAGGACGTGACCATCTAGAATAGAGCCAAACGTCACTACAGCTGCTTCACGCTGGTAGAACGGCAATGCTGATACATAAAGATGTGGCGTGCTGTGCAAGATGAGGTCGCCAAAGACTTGAATAAATCTTTGCACGTCCATTGCAGCGGACAAGGCATCTTTGTATCCAGTGTGAACCTGCAATTGTGATTGTAATATGTCAGTACATAGTAATAGATACAATAAAAATCTAAAAGCCGTCAGGCTTGAATGCTCGGAGTCACCTCCTAGAGGCGTGTCCTCACAGCCTGACGACCTCCGGTCCAAGTCGCCTCCTAGAGGCGTATTGGCCAGGGAGAGAAGCACAAATTGAATAATAAAACTTACTTACTAGGTTACTGCACTTGATCAGATGGCCGGCCAGAAGTTTCTTCCTGGTATCTAGTCCCGCGCCCTCTGCATAAGTCATACCGTTGAGGTCCAGTAACTCTTCTGAAAAGGTATGAATATAAGTCAAGTCACAAGTACGTCCGAACCCTTACCTGTACGGTGGATGTGTACGGCTACGTCGCAAGTGACTTGGTCCCGAAAGTTTTGCATGAGCCTATTGAATACATCACTGTACTTTTTGATCATATCGTTCATTTCCGAGAGGATGTCCTTTCCACTTCTCTTCCCTGTGATTATGGAAGAAGCTCGAGACAGTACAGAGCACAACAGCCTGTAGCACTCACAAAAGTTCTTGGTCTCCGAATAATTTGTGATAAACTGAGCACATTCACGACTCTGCTGGGAAATCTTGCCAAGGACAGTGTGCATCGACAAAATTTGTTGAAGGTTCTCGTCTTGTGTCACGAAACTGTAATTTTCTCGAGAAGTTTGAGTACCGCTGCATTGTGATCTGCTTGAGCTAGAATAATCTGTACAAATGATTGCTGAGTGGTGGGAGATGGGAAGAGATAAAAAGAAAACGTACTTTGGCTGCAAAAGACAACACGCCCAGTGCCATCTTTGTATATGGATGTACCTGTAGAACTAGATTAGTTCGGTTCCGATCGAGAGGAGAACCTGCATACATTCGCAATCTCTCCAATAACAGTGTCGAATATCCTGAGGGGTTTCAAATATGTGTCCTGGAAACCATCAGCAACATCGAGATCCGCTTGTGCGTCTTGGTCAACAGACGCCACAGTTATCGCAGGTCCAGGAAGTGGATACATGTGTCTTGCAGCCTCTTGTGCATCCCGAAGTGCTGATTGGATATCAGCCTCCACTTCCATACCAGGTGAGGCAGCCTGATCCTGCGTGGCCACCAAAATTTAGAGAGAGCACAGACTAAAGGGCAAGTTTGAGAACCTACCTCGATATTCGGGGGAGCAGGGCTACGGGAATCCTTCGAGCGCTTGTTGCAATGTTAGTTGGATTCTAGGATCTTATTATGCACGCTCGTGGACTCACCGATATCCTTAACTTCTTTGCACCGTACTTAACACTGCTCTTGGCCCCGGCTCTGCTGTGCTAGACGAAGGATGAGTCGATGTCAGTGTTTGAAGTGGAGTGAACGAAGTGATGCTCGAAAACTGATATCTAACAAATCGCCAATCAAAACGAGACGGATGCAAATGTGATAAAATTTACGCACGTTGTGGGTGGATAAACAGAGAATCTATCAACGATACGAAGATGCTATTATAGACAAGATAGAACCAGTGAGTGAGATGAGTTATCGATGAGAACCAATCAGAGAGATCTGACATACCGAAATGAGTCTCTCCCCCTTGGGTGGAACCAGTAATGCTGCAAGTGCTCGTGAACATGTATTTAGACCACCTATGCGAGTGAATTTGAAAAAGTAATTGTGAGCGTCTTGGAATCGTGGCCAATAGTGATGCCAATTACCGAAAATGATAGCGCTTGGCTTTTGAGACATGTAGTGGGCGCTGTTGATGACGGTGAGGAGGAGGAGAGGAGGAGGAGAGGGAAGATGTGGCGTGAAGGGATTGGAGGGTTGATTAGTTTCACTGACAGCGATTTCGAGATTAGGGCTGTGCAAGATGAGGCCGCCAAAGACTTGAATATAAAAAATTAGAAGCTGATGAGATGAATGGAGGGCAATTATGGAATGACTCACTTGTGGGCATATATAGTCAATATCTCTGGTAGTTCACCGACAAGGAACTCCCAGAGCGCGCTGTGGTCGGAACCAAAAGACCCACCTGGTAAAATAAAATGGATGTTAGTGATGGATGAGAATGAGAAGGAAGCCATGAACATACGTATTCCGGAGAGGGTGAATGGCCAGCGGTGCAATAACGTCAACATCCCACTCACACTCTTCATGTGGCGGGTGTATGACGGAAGTGGAGAAATGCCTGCTTGTTGGAGGTCGTGGATGGAAATGACACTGAGAGAAGACAATGTTAGTGTGAATGATGCGGATGACTTGAAGGGACAATCTCACCTCACGACCTCAGGTAGCAGCAGTTGCTGGTCAGGACGTAATCTAGATAGATAGAAAGTGAGCAAAAAAAACGGTCAAAATATATGGATGTGGTGGAAGGGGAAGTGGTGCTCCACTACTCAGCCTCAGGGCGGGGACGGGCCATACCGGGCTTCATAGGGAGGGGAGTTTAAGCAAATCAAAAAGAAAGGATGCTCACCAATCCAGAAAGACACCGGGGCCATCATATGCAGGCAGGGTGAAGGTAGTAGGCAAACTGAAATATATTTGAGGAGATCCATATGGCAAGTGCGCCAAATCGGCAAGCGTGACAGACTAAATATCCAACAGGTGTTATTAGTTCACAGGCAGAGTAGGACTAAAGACGAGACACACGTCACCAGCAAGGTACTTCTGTTTGCTCAGGATCAAGTCATATGCATCCAACTTGGGCTGGAGACTGGCCAACAGCTCCTTGACACGCTCCTCATTTGTTTGCAACCCACGGCGCCTTGAGGAATCGTCTAAGCTACGTCAAATCGAGAAAGAAGGCTGCTCACCAACTACTGCAAGAATGAGGTCATTCCAATCTTGACCGGTGCCGGTGACCAACAAGTAGAACCGTATTGCAAAACATTCTACGAGTCGTGAAGCTGCGCATATATATCATGTAGGCTGTCGGCGGGAACGGCGGACTGGTGGGAGAACGCCCCACACCAGTATGGAAAGTGGGAGTGATCAGCTTCGCTAAGCATGTTTGTTTGGTTCTCACCTGTCAGACCCCCAACCACTGCTTGATAGATATGACCTAAATTATGCTTTCATTGTGATCCATTGTGATAAGGAATTCAAACAGTTGACTTAGTAGGTTGGTCTTTTTCACATCCAACACCATCTTCAGCTTTGCTGTAGCAGTTGTTCAACGTGTTTGATAAGCTGATCAAAATGTCGTACCAGTACGAAAAATTAGCTAACAGATGTGTCATACTGAGCACATGGCACTTTTTCCTCGAGTGACATACCTCGAATCTGTTAGAAGGTCGTACTTTCAAGCGGAACAATGTCAGTCTCTCACTCTTGTCCCTCTCGCTTTCTGACCCTTTTGACAGCTCTTGAAGGAACTTGGATGATGCTGTCCCAAGTTGCTGTCATGGGTGCTCAATATAACTCCTGTGAACGTCAGCCCCACCCGAAGTGTTTGGAAGGGACCCGGGTGGATCTCATTGAATACATCCACGGATTTATGGACGACACAGAGAAAAATCAGCTCGTTTGGCTGCATGGCACCATAGGCGTCGGAAAGTCTGCTGTTGCGTTCACAGTGGCTGAGAGGATGAGAGGTCTAAAAGTGATAGAAGAGACGAATGTCGAAAAGCGGCTAGCGGGGACGTTCTTTTTTCGCGCAAGCACACCAAATGGTGCACAGCTGGATATTTCTTTGTGACGCTTGTCTACCAGCTTGCTACCAATTTCCCCAGCATCTGGAAGGATGTGAACAGAACTATCCACGACAATCCCGCTCTACTAGACCCAGACACACCTCTCTGCGACCAGATGGAGGCTCTGTTTCTCCAACCCCTCCGGAAACTTCGACTCAGATTGCACAGATGTCCACCTCTGTCATTTGTTATCAATGCGCTTGATGAATGCCCATCCGAACCAGAGCTCACCGATTTCATCTTTTCCCTTGCACAGGCTCTTCGTGATGGAAAGTGTGCCGTCGTGTTCACCGTAGCCGAGAGGATGAAAGGTCTAAAAGTGACAGAGGAGACGATTGTCGAAATGCGGCTAGCGGGAACATTCTTTTTCTTGCAAAAGCACACCAAACGTTGCGACGCTTGCCTATCAGCTTGCCACCAATTTTCCAAGCATCTGGCAGGATGTGAACAGAGCGATCCACAACAATCATGCTCTACTAGACCCAGACGCGCCTCTCTGTAACCAGATGGAGGGTCCCTTTCTCCAACCCCCCCGGAAACTTCGACTCAGATTGTGCGGGTGTCAGTCTCTGACGTTTGTTGTCGATGCCCTTGATGAATGCACACCCGAACCCGAGCTTACCTATCTCATCCTTTCCCTCGCGCAGGCTCTTCCTTCGCAAAGCTGGCAAGTCGCCATCCCAATTTCCCTCAGCCAACGATGGATGTTCATCGTGGCGTCTACAATGGTGAAGTTTAGGCTCTGGGGTGAGTTCTGCCGTTTTCTCAATCAAAGTCGACTCCGATTCACTGGATCGCAGCTCGCTGGTTCCGCATTGGTAGAGGTCTTTGCTGACAACATCGTCATTTGTCCTCTCGAGATGATGAAAGTCAAGATCCTTGTTCCCCTCTGGTACTGTCAGGTTAGGCTAGACATCTTTTCGGATTGTACTCATTTTGATTATCGGTTCGCTATCCTTTCGGCTTCCTTCTTTCCCTCTGGTCTATTGCTATCTATTTACCCTGTACAGTCTGTATACTCCTTGCCATGCAATAGATCTGCTCGTTAAAAGCATTGGACCTCCGGTGACTACACTTCTCTTGAGGCTATGTGTACTCGATTTGGAGGCTTGACAAGTTCGAAATCTACCCTCCCCCACACTCTCCCTATCACTTGTTTCCTCGTTCCACTGACTCCTCACAACTGTATCGACTTCGACGAAATTTCTGATGAAAGCAACGCCACAGTTCTTTGCCCCCTGACTACTGTGAGTGATCAATACTGTCTGGCATTCTGATGCGAAGAGATTGAGACTGCCTGCCATGGTGCCAACATACTAGATTTTATTCAATCACTTCCAGAGTAAGACCTCAACACTACGAGAACTCGAGGCTTACTGACATGATAATGTTAGTGAATTCAATACTGAAGTTGGTGGCAAGGGATCGCAGCTGTCGGGAGGTCAGAAATGTGTGTATCATCCATGACGGATACCTTTCTTTGTGCGCTGAAGTCATAATCCAGAACGTATAGCAATCGCTCGCACACTGCTTCGGAACCCAAAAGTTCTTCTGCTCGACAAAGCCACATCAGCCCTTGATTCGTACTCGGAAAAGTTAGTACATCCGCTATGGCCTCTAACCAAGCAATGTTCCGAGAGGGGCCCATGGAACGGCTCAAGACTATGCACGCTCCAGCTGATCCATAACGGCACTCTCTCTGATACCTTCAATAGCGCATTCCTTCCCAGCCTCAATGCGTGGTATCTGCGTCAACTCGGCCTTTCTGCCACCAATATTACCCACGTTGTGGTCCCTACCATTATCTTCGGCTCATAGATAACTTTACAGGTCAAGATCTACGTAGTTAGTAGTTGAATACATAATGCTAATGCATTCTCCCAGATATTCTGCCTCGCAATATTTGTTCCATCATCTACAAACTGAGCTGCAACCTCCTGAAGATACAGGAGCTGTTCCTGTGTAAGTGGGCAGTTTGGCTCGTCAACTTGAACATTGTTGAGAGTCTCTGGTGTATACGCGACAAATGGATTGTTGCCAAGAGGATCGTGTATGAGTTGGTTCGCTGTATGGTGATGTGCATGAATATGATGATTTTCGACATCATTCCAATCAATGCCATACTCCGCAATGGCCTCGTCATCTTGGAGAATCTCCTCTGGCGGTTGAAATGTAGCAGTATCTTGAAATCCCCGCGCACCATGCTGTAGCATGCTAACGAAGCGCATTTCGTGAGGACTGGCCATGCCATGCTCAGGGATGCTCATTCGGTGATTATTCCATGCCTCGGCCCAGCCATGAACCTCTTTGCACAACATCTCAAGAAACAGGAAATGAAGCAACCAGATATGGTGAATATTATCGGCCTCTAGGCCGCTGGTGGCCTCGAGGTCTTGAAAAAAACTCTTCCACTTGGAACCGATGCCCTGTGTGAAGTCGACCCATAATCTCTCAATACGTATATTGTGTACACTTCTGTTAAATATTTTAGTACGTGGATTGATCTACAAAGTACTGTCCATAATACCTGCCCCAAATGTAAGAACCCCTTCCATGCCCTCGTGTTTCATCCATAAATCTCGCAACATCAACATTTTCCACCCCATGATCTCCTCGAACACGACTTGGATACCGTGGACATGAACAATCTGTCGAAAAAGATTCATGACAGTGACTGCTCTATTGTTATTGTGCGGCCGGAGTCCAGTGATGTAACGAGAATATCCATCAATGAAACCATGCATGACAATCTTCCACCAGATCAGACCCATAAAATCATGATGGTCTGATGTGCATCATAATAAAAATTAACATACCATGCTGTCCATCATGGTGTGTCAAGGAGTTGTACCCTTTTACATTGTAAACTCGGCGAGTAATGCGACGCACACCAAAGGCAGCAATGGGCGGGCCATGAACACGAGAGTATGACGCTTGGATGCGAGAATGAGGTTCAATGACCCCCATGTGGCGTAACTGGCCATCTATCATGCGACGTCCAAAGCGGGGATACTGAGTGAGAATCTGCAACATGATAGCATCAAGCTCATTGTCAGGGAGTGAAGACTGTGCCGCAGTAGATGATGTATAATATCGAAGTGTCTCGCCTTCATCATCAGTGAACTCGACATAAACTGGATTCCCAGGTTCAACAATTTGGTGTTCTAGTGCCCTCCGTCGCACAGTGCGTGGTGCTACACCCAAAAGAGCACCAAGCCTTGTTGGTCCTGCAAATTGAAGGGCTGTAGCTAAAACCTCTGGGTCGATGTCAATTCGAGGACGTCCACGTCGATGGGTATGAATAGTGGAGACCACCTCAATAGGTGCCATGTCGGGTTCATCAGCTGACCGGTCTTTACCTTCATCAAGGTCCGTGATCATAGCATTCAAGCTATCATTCATGGTGATGTAGGTGGCCTCAGGGACTAAAGCACAATGCTGAAATATCTTAGTAGTGTACTACAGGTGGCATGGTTGTGTGACTCACCAAAGTAATGTCATTTTTTAAATGTTCGCATGCTTCGACATGCAGTTGGAGTCGGGCAGCATCTCCGAGCTGCGTGAGTAAGGCAACACGAACATCTTCTTTGAGCTGGTTGAATGCAAGTATGATGTTTTGCAGGGGAAGGGGAAGGTGTTCGAGTTCGAACGACTGGTCCTCCATGGTAGTTGAGGGTGAGGGTGTATTAGCAGGGACCTAGATAAGGTCACGCAACATGGGCAACAGTGCCAGAATAGGGTCAACCAGTCAATTCACGGAAGGAACGAGTACAAATGTATTGCTGTATAATATACAAGGTAAGGCTATAACTATGCGGGGAATATGACAGTGTCAGCAGGGACACTATAGAAGTCGCATGTTTTCCGAGTGATCCGTACCAAGATCTTGCGTTTCGTGGAACCAGTTGGCAATCATAGCCAGCGTGATCATCTGTGAGGTACGCTTTCCTGTCCTTTGGGGGGATGCGCTTCAGAGATGGCAGCTCGTCGACACACTCCAATGTTATTCCCCACAGCATCTTCCGATCATCAGTGCCATGATAAACGCCTTTGAGTATGACACCGTCTATCAGGTTAGCGCGGTGGCGCTTGACGTTCTTTCCTTCCAGTGCTTGAAGTTCTTCTCTCATCTCCGCTATCATGTCTTCACGAAGAAGGCGAAATGTGTTGTCGAGATAATCCGCGGTACGAGTGCTTTCTCCGGATTCACCTTCTAACTCCGAGCTACGGCGCAGGAATGGTAGCTGTTTGGATCTAATTTCGTCGGCTGTGGGAAGGATAGCGATATCGCGAAAATTGACAAAATCATTGTCATGTCGTCCACCTGGGCCATTGGCAGCCGGGGGAGGGGCTGAGGAGCCATACGTCGAAAGGATATGCTTAATCTTCTCTCCAATAAGGCGGACTTCCAAGTTTTCAGAGCCTGTGAGTTTTGGGAGCACATTTGGCCTGCCAGCTAGTTCAAGATAGGGTGTTGTGTCGTGGTTGGAGAGGTTCAATAGCCGAAGGAGGAGGCTAGCGAAGGCACGTTGAGCTTTTTCAAGTAGCTCTCCACGAGCAAAAGCGTGGCTAAACGCCGACCAGAAGAAATCTGGTTCGACTATTTGGATAAACAGGTGATCTAGCACGTTGCTGCTGATGCTTGTGGCCTGGAGGAGATATACAAGAACATCAGCACCAATGCCATTCATAAAATCTGCCGACAAGTCCAGTCGCATCGCCTCCTGCACAATAGAGGGTCCTTTTGATTCTCCCACTATCTTGCTTACGCATACCGCAACATCTGGTTGGGAACATATAGAATCGAGAAACAAGTGACAGTTTCGTGGCTTGATAGGGACTTTGCCCTTGAGAACATCAAAGAACCGTTTGTTCAGCAAGGCCACTCGTCGATCAGACATTTTCTGGGTGTTCTTGGGTGGCGGCAGTGGTGTGGAGAAAAGAATACGTTCGAGATTGGGTGATGATAGACAGGCGTGATAGTTTGAACTTAGAGGGTTAGACTTGAAGGGCACGTGTGATCAAAGAACAACAAACAGGATCTGCGCAAGCACCAGTTAGTAGTGGGAATCAGAGTAGAGTTCTAAACTCGCTAGAGCGCTCGGTAAAACACCGGCTAAGCGCTCTAGCACAGATGGAGTCGGCCGGCATGAAGTCGGAGTCTGAATCACCATGCCTGCTGTCCGCCAACGTGTTCGCCGTTCTGCAAGGCTTCAAGCAAACGCTCGAACTCGCCCAAAGGCGATGGAGCTGCCCCCAAATCCATCTGCATCCCGTGGAAGAGGGAAATCTCGAGGACGTGGGTCCAATTCCGCTCGTAATCAGCCTCCTAAGGCTGCCGGACCGAAGATAATTGTCCATTGGACCAGGGCCCAAGATCTCCACCGCACAGACACTCTCGTGACCCACCTGACCAATAATCCTTCCGACGCACGCACTCTTTTCTACGAGGGGAAAAAGACCGCTGGTTCTAGCACTGAGGAGCGTCCCTCTGGCAGGGACAAAGGGGACATCCATCGGATCTTGTCGCAGCTGATCTTCGAGAAGGACTCCGAATATTCAGCGTTATACGCTGAGGACCCAAAAAAATTCGATGTATCAGTGGGCAACCGCTGCACTGCGTAAGTGGCCTCCTTTATTCAGATTTGTCGCCACTAATTTAAATATTTCAAGTCTTAGGAAGTTGTTTAGGGATCAGCACGATAAGTTCAACAAGACCGGCGCTGGCGTCACCCCGCTTGACGAACACGCGGCCGCCAATCTTCACAGTGAGTTTTTCGTCATTGTTTTCATATTTTTTTTTGATTTTTTGATTTAAAGAACAAGTACTACTCGAGTTCCCTTGGTATGACCAGCTCCACCCATTCCTCTTCTCCAATCCAACAATCGGCGCGAAGGTCTTCACCTCCCAGCCGGGAGTCGACCACGCTGCAGATTACTACTCGCTCATTCGTCCGCGTGGGGGGGCTGATCCCTCTACAAACCCACCCGGTCCTCAGCCCCATCCTCAAAACCCTCAGCCCCCCACCCCCACCCCCCAGACCCCCAGCTGTTTCCCCCAGACCCTCAGCTCCCTCTCCAAAACCATCAGTCGCTTCCCTCAGACCCTCAGCTCCCTCTCTGGAGCCCACCTGACACTAGCGCTCAGTGCGCTCCTCCAAGCATTCGGCCTGGTCCCACGGGCGCTCAGCACGCCCCTCCAAATACTCTGCATCCCCCCCCCTTCACAGCACCCCCTCATCATTTTTCCGGCACTGGGGGCAGTCCAATCGACGATCCAGACGGTGACCTCGACGACGACCTCCACGCTGACGAAAACGATCTTTTTTCTGCCCCCCTTGGCAACGCGCTGGGGATGTTGGGCGGGGGGGACGCTGACATGGATGATGACGAAGGGATGGAGCTTGACCCCTCCTGTCGTCGTGTCATTAGCCTTGACAGTCCCCCCAGGTTGGTGGGACAGAAGCGGCAGTACGCCGCTTCCCCCTCTCCCCCTCCAGTGGACAAACCCATGTTCCTTCTCCCGTGGAAGCTCCAGACGCCGACATACCACAGTCGCGAGGCATTTGGCTCCGCCTCCCCTGGTGGCCAGGTGCCACGTAGACCTTCCTCGTTTGCGTCGTCGTCGGGGATATCACGCAGCCGTTCCACTCCCTCGTCCACGGCATCTTCGTCCTTTGCATCGACCGACTATTGTGCATCGCCAACGGCATCCCAGACGTCGCTGTCTGCGAAGCCGCGGAGCTCGGCCAGCTCGAAGAAGAAGCGATCCTCCGTAGTGGACATGGCGGATGACCTCAACATCATCAACGAGGACATCCGGAGCATGAAGACCGACATCTCCGAGCGCCGGGAGTCGAGGAACGAGCGCTATGCCATCAAGATGAACTACCAAGCGCAGAAGAAGGATCTTCAGTGGCGCCGTGAAAGTCTTTCACACGAAGTCCTCATTTCGGCCACCACGCATCAACGCGAGCAAGAGGCCAAGGACAAGGAGATTCAGCGCCTCCAGGCTGCAGCTGCCCTGCAGGAAAAGGAGGCTGAGACCTGGCGCCTTAGGATCCAATATGAGATGATGATCCGTACCGCAGGTGCTGGTCCCTCATCCTCGTCACCATCAGCCTGAATATGTGTTGTGATTTTCGCGTTTTTTTTCATTGCTGTCATGTTAACTTTAGCTGCTTGATTGTTTTTTTATATACATCTGTTGATACATCTGTTGAATCTCTTGTAGTAGTACATGTACCTTATGGTTGCCAATATGATTCTGTTCCCTGCAAGCTACCCTTCCCTGTGTTGAGCTCTTGAGTGAGGACTGTCAAACAGTTGATCCATCATCCTCAAACGGGAAGCTTGCCCTGGAGTACCCTCATATGACCTATCACCCACAACTTCATCTCCATCAGGATCTTCCCTCTCTTGAGCTGCAAATTCTCTGGCCTCCCTTTCAGCCCACCTCTGAGAACGACGGAATTTCGGGTTCTGCTGGCGATGGTGTGCTTCAAATCGAATGATCATGTTGTGCAAGATGATGCAACACATAATCCAATGGACAGCAATCTGAAGCTCTCTTTCTGTGTGAATATTGAAGCGAAGCTCTCGAAGGGATTGAAACCGCCCCTTAAGAGCAGCAAATGCATGCTCAACACGCACACGAACCTAAATAAAAATAAAAATCAGTCACCAAACCATCACAAAAAATCACAAAAATATGAGCACACCGTGGAAAGATGATAATTAAATGTCTTCTGGTCCTTAGTCAACCTTCCATTACGGGGCTTCTTGAAAGGGACTATGCACCACTTCTCAAGTGGGTATGCACTGTCAGCCCAAATCCAATGGTCATCTGGCAGAAGGGCTTCGTGCTGTTGATAAAGACGAGTTGATCGGAAAGCATAGGCATTGTGGACACTGCCGGGATGACCAAGAGCATAGTCGACAATGATAAGGTTATGAGGCATAACAGCTGCCTAAAAATATTTAATTGTTGACCATGAGGGGAGGGGAAAAAAATACCTGACAGCCAAGGGAATAGTTAGATTTCCTGTCATAGAATGTCTCACCAAAATGAGCAGGTTTGGCATAGAGATCAATTGTGGTGCCATCAACAGCTAGAATGCCATTGCGCCACTCGGGACAAGTCTTGGACTGTGCATATTCCCGAGCAAGCTCAGCATCCTCTGAATCAGGGTGCGGAAAACCAACAAAATTGTCATGCTGGTCAAGCAGTGCAATCATCACACGATTTGTGCAATTCACAACTGACCCGACACTTATACCTGCCCATTGGGCAACATCCTCAAGAGAAATCGCATTGCCATAGTGGCCAGCACGATTGAGGAAGATAGCAAGCTGGATGGAAATGGGAAGCTGGGGATTATTGGATTGGTTGAAAAATATTTGATGATCAGAGATTTGATCGAGAATATCGTCAAAAATGATAGGGTCAACACGTAGCTTCTGGCGAAATAGGTAAGGGCGGTGTTTCTCATGATGAACAAGCATGTGCAGCTGGGGAGCTCGTGGGGGAGGTTCATCTGGCTTGTTGAGGACACGAGCCCTTGCGACCTCATCGCGAAGTGCCGCAATTCGGTGCTGAAGACGATTATAACGTATAGCAATATCGTCAGAGTCATTGGACTCATCAGAAAATTCACTAGTGGTGTTGGAGGAAAGGGTGGGTGAGGAGGTGATGTCCATGGTTGAATCCGAGTTAGAATCAGCATTGGAATTGAAGCTGGAGTCAGAGTTTGACTCCTGAGCTTCCAACACCTGCTGATATTGGAGTTGGGCTAATGACAGTGCAGCTTTATCAACTGCACCAAGAAGATCTTGCCTGGTGGATGGGCGAGGCATGGTGAGAGCTCAAGATCGAGAGATGATTCCCTTATCATCCCCCCTAGCTGATGTGCGCTGATAAGCGGAGTTTCAATCGGAGTTTGAAATCTTACCACGGTCAGCGTGCTAAGTCTCGCTCACCTTGCATGACAGCGAGCAACCTACCATCCCCACTGTGCTGCCCATTGGCCTCAACAACCCCGGATATGAGGATGCCCCTCCCAGATCTTTCCCGGCTTCTTCACCATCCTATACCTTCTGATGGCGCTGCAGATTTCCATGCGCTCCCAGATCTTTCCCTGCTTCTTCGTCATCCTATACCTCCTGATGGCGCTGCAGATTTCTCTGCGCTCGTTCGTCCACGCGTGGGGGCTGGTCCCTCTATGAATCTACCTGGTCCTCAGCTCCCTCTCCAAAACCATCAGCCGCTTCCCTCAGACCCTCAGCTCCCTCTCTGGAGCCCACCTGACACTAGCGCTCAGCGCGCTCCTCCAAGCATTCGGCCTGGTCCCACGGGCGCTCAGCATGCCCCTCCAAATACTCTGCATCCCCCCCCTTCACAGCACCCCCTCATCATTTTTCCGGCGCTGGGGGCAGTCCAATCGACGATCCAGACAGTGACCTCGATGACGACCTCCACGCTGACGAAAACGATCTTTTTTCTGCCCCCCTTGGCAACGCGCTGGGGATGTTGGGCGGGGGGGACGCTGACATGGATGATGACGAAGGGATGGAGCTTGACCCCTCCCGTCGTCGTGTCATTAGCCTTGACAGTCCCCCAAGCGGCAGTACGCGGCTTCCTGCTCTCCCCCTCCGGTGGACAAACCCATGTTCCTTCTCCCGCGGAAGCTCCAGACGCCAACACACCACAGTCGCGAGGTGTTTGGCTCAGCTCCCTTCCCCTCTCCTCGTGACACTTGTTCACTCGCGCAATTGTGGGATGGGTCCCTGTGATCATTCGTTGTTTGGAGGCTGACAGACTAATTACTTCGACATATCTACGTATATCTACATTCTCTATCATATGCGCTACCCCCAATATCCCCCATTATCTCTCAGAAATGCTTAAGTCTTGTTTTGAACTCCGATCTATGCCGGCCGTCTATGGCCGAGTTTTTTCAAAGTTTACCGAGTCTTAGTTATGTTTTAGCGACTTTAAAAAATCTACTCTGAGTCCCACTAGTATATCAAGCGAATCTTTAGGATAACATACCAAACATGTGAGGCGAAAGAGCGCTCAAGAAGGTCATATGTGGAGTCTGAGTTTGAGCCCATCGCCCAAGAAGCACTAGTAATACAGGGACCCTGGAACTTCATCAATACTTTATCAATCATCGACATCCGCGAGAGATATTTTTTGTGCCTGGTTGACGCCCTGGCCAAGGATTACGGTGTACTCCAAGGCTAGCGCTCACTGTTGCTCTACAAAGTTTTCAAGTTGTCTCAATGCCTGCCACTGCGCCACTACCATAGATGAATGATGATTATAAGTATTCGTTCGAACCTTTAGATCCTTATAAGAGGTTGGTTGTGTGTTTCAAGGTTGATTGGTGTTTCGAAGTCTCACAGGTTTCAAGCGCTCACCGCTCGCTGGTTACCGTTACATTCTGGGTTGTTCCGGGGGATGTTTGTCCCGATTTATTCCCGTCCACTGTTAACTGTAAATTTATCCAGATCTAGTGAAAGAATGTGAACAAGGCCAAGGCTGGAAGCTTTCGAAAGGAGAGGCATGACGGCGGTATAGGTAGTGTGGGGGGTAAAACTACTTGGCTTTAGTTTTGCCGGTTATAACTGGCAAACCGGCAAAACCGGTTGTTTTGCCAGGGTGGCAAAACTTGGCAAAACTCTAGGCGCTTAGCTAGGTTATGTAGACTATGTGTATGACATTCCTAGTGGTGACATCAATATTAATGTCACCTGTGACTCCCACATAAGTACCGTAATTATAGGTGATAATGCATGGGTTTCGCACGTGTAAGATGAGGTGGATACAGCAGATCACCGCCTCCTTCAATATCTCGTCAATAACGAGCAACTTTATATAGCGTTGTAGGACTATAAGCTTGGGTGCCACCGGCATATCGGCAAACGTGACGTGTTCCCGGCATCAGATATAAATATCCAAACCTTCGAGCTCACTGTGTGACACGATGAGCTCGCATATCTTACGTCCAAGTGATCGGATTGAAAGCGGATCTTGACGATACGTGCACAGGCAATGATTATCACACATAGGGAGTACATTTACAATGTACAAACGATTACACTACTCTTCTTCAACATCGCTATGAATTCCGAGGCGTGAAAAGTCATCAGCAACAAGGAGGACATCTTGTAAACTCCTCGATGCTTGCTCTGCTACCTCTTCCTCCTCCTCCTCTTCATCATCCAGATCATCCTGGGTATCTGGGTCCAAGGCAGATGCAGTGTGATCAATGGGCAGGGGTTCAACAAGCATGCGGGCAGGGATCTGCGCATTAGGTATGCTCGCGCTCTCCCCGGGACATGTGTCAGCGCTTACACCAGGAGTTAGCGTCCCACTGAAATATGGAAGCTTCGATATTTCATGAAGCCGGTTGAGATGTCGTGAGTTAAAGCGTCCTCGAGTATTTTGGTGGATGGAGATTTGATGTGCCAGGGCCGGGCTGGTATCCTTCAACTGGTCCTCACATTCCCGTAGATAATTTTCTTCATCCCGTATGTAGGTCACCAGGCGTCGCACCTCAATATCGAGGCGTTTGATCTCCTCACGCGCCCGACACACTTTGAAGTGGAGGTCCATTGTGCTACGAGCAGCAGCAGATGACCAAGGGCGCTCGGAGATGTCCACACGTGTGTCACGAAGGAGGTCGAAGTCGGCAAGAAAGGCGTAGTCAACAACCTCCTCCCATTTCAGTGTTGAGCGGGGAGGATACAGCATCCTAGCAATACTATTGTATGTGTTGAGGGCTGACCTGATAGCGACGGAGCGAACCTGTAATGCCTTAGCGATATGTTTTCGTAGTTTATAGCCTGAATCCAAACAGTAGTCGCAACTCCATGTGTAGTAGGAGACTTACCTGTCCCTGCCCTATTCATCTTCGACAGTTTGAAGATCCAAGCGACGATAAGACCCTCGAGACGATCTAGTGCCCGCTGGTACTTCCTGTTAGCCACCAGCCTTCCTGCAGTCTGCCACTCTACGTCTCTGGGAACCCACCGCTCCATGATTTCGAGTTTGCACTCCAGTGCTTGCACCATTTTGAGATTTCTCTCATGGTCTTCCTGAGCGTGACGACGCGCACTTTCAGCTTTGCGGGTACGTCTGACCTGCGTCTCGTATAATGCAGCATCCGCGGGAGAAGGTAATTCGAATGCTGCCATTGCAGCATCGAGAGCGTCACTGAACGAAACTTGTCAGCCAGTAATAGTGGGGTACGTACCACAACTCACCTGCTTGCTGCAAGATTGACCAGCCTCTGCCAATACTCCATATGGAGCGTTTCTTCTACAGGCTCCCGCGTTAGACTGACAAGATAGGCCTTTTCATCTTCCAACCAGCGTTCGAAAACGCTCGCATCACCAACTTTCAGATCTTGCATAAGCTTTGGCAGTGCTGCATTACCATCATGGAGAATGTCTAATGCTTGCTTGTAGTTGTTGTATAAAAAATCGGCTAGCAGGGTGATTAGTAAACGAATGTCACGTGTCGTCAGGTCACTTACAAAGGTTAGCATACACTTCGAAGTCGTCGTTGTGCTCGAAATAAGAGTCGATAGCTTGTTGGCGATGAAATACGCTAGCATAACGTAGTGCTGAAGCCAGGGAATTCGATTTTGAGAAAGTCCGCTCGCATGTTTCAAGATCCTCGAGGCCCAGACCTTTGATGTAGGTTGTAAGTGAAAAAAGTTGACATAACCGTCTGTGGGCATGGCCGTGGAAGGCGCCAACCAGGCAGGTGTGTTGAAGTGAACGTGCGAGTGGTCCAAGGGGGCTGTTGTCAAGTGTAGTCTTGAACTGACAACCAATGTCATACCCACCTCCCAATCGCGTCCCAAATACGTCCAGCAACTTTGAAACGACAGCCAACGGATACTTCGCACTATCCAAAGACTCGTTAGTAGCTAGATATATGTATAAATAGACATCACTTACAGTTCACCACTCTGTACCATGTCTGCAACAAGTAGTAGAAATCCATGACGGCACACTGCCACGAATATACCCGTTTCATCATATATCCCCCAAGCCTTCTTCGTTTTGGCATCATCCATATTTTTCCACTGTCTGGCACAAGAGTTATCGGCACCTGCATCCTCCTCATCACCTGCAGTGGTAGTTAGTGCCGAGTCTGAGTCCCGAGAATACCGGTCTACAAATGTGCGAGATAGGTATCGATCGCTTGTGAATTGTTGACCTGTGGGAAGTTTGGATGAAGGAGGCAGCGAGTCATCGGCATGATGATCAAGAGATCTCTGAAGGACTCGTTTTAAGGAGTCGTTACCGTCCATGGCATATAGTAGTCTGAATGTTAGTTTTTCTTCATCATTAAGTTCATACATGCATGCCGGACACGCATGCTTAAGGCGCCAGTCAGGTGAGTCGCGTTGAAGCGATTCAGATACAATGGCTGCCACAGAGCGTCGAATTTGAAGGTACAGGTCGAATGCAATAGAAAATTGGTGTGATAGATGTCTGTGGAATTCCACCTGCGTATGATCAGCGTAATAAGTAGAGAAACAGGAATAGTTACCCCCTGCAAGTCGCACACAGTTTTCACGAAGGCCTGGATGGACAGATGAGGACTTCTGAGATGTGCCACACGGTATAACTCAAGGGCTTCTGTTGTAATGCCTACAGTGGGTGATATAGGCGAGCATGGCATCACGCCTTGACGAACCAGTGCAGAGGCGATGGTGGTGTCTGTGGGTAAGATTCGAAGACTTACTTTCTCAGCGTCTACAATGAGCATGCCGTCATTGATATCAAAGGTAAGCAAACGACAACAGATCACTTACAGAACACGTCAATCACACTGATTGACCATTGACCGTAGTCCGAATCCCTCTCCAGGTCTGCATTCAGCAATCTCTCAAAAAAACTCTTAACCTTCTCCTTAGATTTTTCGAGGCTCCAGGCAAGGTAGGCGTCGGTCATTACAGGCATCTGTTCTGTAAATGCCTTGTTTTTGCGGAGGACACGATCATGACGAGTACGGTGATCCACGCGTCGAACACGATTGTTTCTGCTCACAGAGGTATGTCACACAGTATCAACGGTAAACACTCACTAACACTCACATTTTCCAGAAATCTCCCAAAACCTCTCTTGCAAGGTCAGTGAACTTGCCACCAGCATGACTGATGGCGAGTGGTTCGGTCCCATTCCAGACATCGCCAAAGCTCATGTCATTGCAGTCTTCCTGCCAGTCTTCAATGGTGGTATTATTGACCTCTTTCAGCGCTTCAAGAGCCCTACGCTCGCCCAAAGTCATGGCTTTACCAGAGGTGAGTTTTTTTAAATTATTTGAGCTAACATCACATACCTTGCAGGCGTGCTTGCCGCTGCTCATTGGAGCTCGCTGCTTGCTCCACCAAATCCCGGTGCCTGAGCACCTTCGATACACTACGGTTGACAGGCAGCCCATTTTTTTCTCTCGACGATCCAATGTGCCGGATGGATCGCAAGGAGAGATTACTTCGAATTTGCTGGCGTCCTCCGTTGTTTCGCATTATCTATGTTGCTTTTATGTGAGTGAAGGAATGTCTTTCCAATCCACGTGACTGACGATCGGTAGTGTTGCAAATGGTCCCCACACCTCATCACATCCGTCATGTCAAGCCGTCCGTCGACTTGCTCTGACTCCCAGCATGATCACATCCAAGATCTACAGAATTTGCTTGGTGGTATGAGCCTCACAGGTAGATATCTCATTCGTTCTAATATTTGTGAAATACTCACATCACCCATCATAGATTCATCGTTTGATACTGTCACCTGGAAGCGCAAGACTACAGAAGAGTCGATTGCATTGTCAAGATCTTTACATGCACAATCGACGCGCAACAATATACCCAGCGGAAGAATTGGAACGGCGGCGCCTCCTTCTGCCCCCTCAACAACCCAAGCACCCTTGTACTCAGCGGCAGTCCCATCCCCCCCATCCCAACCTGTCCCCTTTACGACTACCCAGATACCCTCCAGGGTTTCACTTGTTCCAATCCCAGACGAAATCCCTCCACCACAAGCCGGGCTGAAACCGGAAGGCTTCTGGGTGATCACCGTTGGGCAAGAAGTTGGTGTATTTTATCATTGGTGGGTGTTGCGCCCTCTCTTTCACTGATAATTACTAATTCAGGATTCATCTTAGGGCTGATGTCGCGGAGCGAACAAATTTTGTTAGCGGAAGTGTTCAGAAGAAGTATGCATCTTTCCAGGAAGCTCTTGACGTATACACCGTCAAATATAACGAGGGCAGGGTCCGCGCAATCCCAATGCCAGGTGGCCCATTCTGGCCTCCAAACTCACCTAGATCTCCCCCATCCTCTGGATCCCCTGCTTCCTCGACGTTGTCTATAGGCTCGGACGACTTGTGGTCACAGGTTGAAGACTTGTCGGAGACCATGAGTCAGTACCGGTTTTGAATACTATGTAGTCAATATTACAAGCTGTAGTAGAGTGAATACATGCAATTCTTCCTTGCTCCTACTGTTCTTGTATGGCTTCCTTGTTTGACTGATCAAGAAGAGTATGCATGGTACTTGTAGTCTGATGAAACAGTGTCACGGTATTCTGCACATCAAGGACTTTGTTATGTGGAGCGTGATACTGACAGGGCTTTGTTCACTCTGGTATTCTGTATAGCACATCAAGGACTCTATTATGTGTAACGTAGTACTGACTCTCATTGCACAGCTTGTCTTGTCGGACAAGACAAGCTGTGCAATGACGAGCACCCTAAGTGTTGTGTAAAGTACATACTAGTAGTACCCGTATTACATGAATTCACTGGCACGTTACATCATGCAACAATAGTGCTCTAAATGTCGTAAATGCTCCCCACCACTGACGACAGATCCTTTGAGCTTCGGCCCAATAATACATATCATGTTTGGGTGACCGAAGTGTTCTGCTTCTTCAATTTTTTGCAACAGGGTGTTAGTCACAATCCCGAGCATCTGAAGGTGCATGTTCACTATCCGTTCGCTATTCGTTCACTATCTGTTCACTATCCGTTCGCTATTTTTGTTCGCTATTCATTCACCATCTGTTCGCTACATGTTCAATATTGCATGTTATGTGTTCACTCGGCATTCACACCATGTTTGACGTTTGGACGCTTGAAATTACATAGATAATATACTGCTAGTCACAGTCTGTGTCTACCAGTAGTTTCACTTCAAAAAATTCCACCTCCGAGATGATGCCAACCAGTAAATCGTACAGTAAAATTATATCGTACTTAAGACGCTCCTTGCAACATGGGCAGTGGGTGTGCACAGTGTCCTTGATGGTGTCCAGTAGCGACCTCCCCTCTGAAGCATGCTCTGCACACTGCTCCAGGAATAGGGCATGCTTCCCCTTGGCCTGAGCGCGAGCAAGCACTTTGTTGAATGCCTCATTCCACATATCTTCGGATGGCCACTCCTTCGGCCATTTACCAACACTCTTTTGCCATCTCCCAACCAGGATCTCAATCGATTGTAGTGACGGAGAGTCACAGGAACAAGGTATGTCATTGTCCATCATGAGCACAGAGTCGTCGCCGTCGAATGAAAAATCATTATACAGTTCTTCATCAATGGTTTGCAGTATCGGGGAATTGTGGATGTTAGGTAGATTGTCGTCTGTGAGCACGGCCTCAGTCATGGTGAGAGAGTTGTGGAGATGAAGATCGTCGTTTGTGAGCATGACTTTGGGATCATCGTCTGTGAGCACAGTTTTGGTAGGGTCATAATATTCTTCATCGTCCGAGGGGGATACAATGGCAGTGATGGGCATATCCTGGGCTTGAACTAATTTTTTCCTGTGCGTGAGTCAGTTGCAAGTCAGTACACCGCTGTATGCAGGCATCCTCACTTTGCCCTATTGCTACAATAAACCGTTTCAGTGCAAAGAAGACTTAGGAATAGGTATAGACTCACCAAGCGACTCAAATACGAGCTTTCGCGTTTTGAGTGTCTCGGACTCTGGAGTGAGGGCAGAGGGCAGGTAAGCAGGACTCATGACCCAATACGTCCGACTCACCCTGGCTTTGCAAGCCAACGCTCTGTGGCCATCTGCAGCTTCGACGCAGGACTGCAGGATCTACTCTTGCCTCAGCGACCCTTGGGAAGAATATTAGATAGGCCAATGCCAATGCGAGGGATTCGACTCTTGAGCGTACCATGCCGTTGAAAAAATAAAGGAAGAAGGGATGATCTGAGACGATCTCCAGGTATATGTTCAAAATCATCGATAAAATGTAGGTTGGCAGCCAGGCAATATTGGTTGACAACGCTGTGAGATCCGATTGAAAGGTACAAGTAGGATTCTGTAGGATCGCCACCTCTTGTGCGGAAGACTCATCTTGATTCTATATTAGGGAATTGTTGTAGACTGTTGTTGGTCCATGTAGTAGTACTCAGTGCATCACTCTGGCGTATGTGCGTCTCAAGCCATCTGCATCCCCATCATTGAACAGTATACTGGAATTATTCACCTACGGTCAACAGTTCTTATTATCTGTCAGCAAGATTGACGACTTCAACTAGGCTACATTCAAGATGGATTTCAAGTTCCACCAGGTCAAGCAAAGCGGCATGCTCGTCATGCACAAGCCCCGTCATCAAGTCAATGGAACTGTCTCTTTGGTACTTGTTCCTGCTTAGGGAAGAATTGACCTTGAACAGAGGTCCCACTTGGACTCGAACTTTCTTCGCCTAGGCACCGACATGGATAGCATTATTTCACCACTCTTCCTCACTGAAATAAAACCCCCGTTGATCCTCCGTTATCTGCACGATTTGCCTATACCAGACCTTGAACCAGGCGATAAATTGTATGTTACCCTTGTGAACTGCAAAACAACTGCCCGACCTGACTCTCGCCACATACTGGATGGAACTTGTTGATGTGGACCCAAAGGCCCATGTGTCATCGCTGCTGCGCTTTGTCATTATATCATGGAGACCTGAAACACATTTTGAAGGTATGTCTGAATCATGATCAGCTCGAATCTGAGATACATGTGTAACCTTAGCGGTTTCAAATGGATGTCAACCTCAAGATCTTACACCGATTTCCGCTGGATCCTTTGAAAAATTGGCTTTCAATGATAGGGTGCTCACGACGCGACACGCATTGTTTATTTGATATGAAGTCCATCAACGCCCGTGTTTTTTTATCATTCATTTGAAATTCGTGTCTGCACTTACAAATTTTCTGCGTACAGCTTCAAGTATGAGTAACCTCTATTCAGCTGATGATTTCGACGCCAATGGCAATTTTATCTCGACCGGGAAGCTTTCGGATTTGCTTGCCACGGATGAAGGTCATATTCCCTCGATCGACGAGATCAACTGGGATGATCCATCCTTATACACTATGCCGCTCACTAGCAATGAAATTGCAGCTCTCACTTACGACATAGCGGCTACAAACCGCCAACTTCCAGAGCTCCCTCCTCCCCCACATGTTGCTGGCACAAGCTCCCCCCCTGCTCACACACCATCACCGAACCCCTCTGAAATCTGTGATGAAGGCATGCTAAGTCCCACCCACTCAGAGGTGCCGGACGCCAGTGGAGGAGTGCAAGAGTCACTCCAACGCGAAGCAAACACATCCACCTGGGCTGCATGAAACCCGACGCGAGCCATCATTCGCCCTCGGACACCACCACCTCGACTAACAGATGCACAGAAGGCGTCTCGAAAGATCAAAATGGATCAGACGATGGAGAAAAAGAAACGCTTACATGATGCTGTCGCTGAATACCTGGAGGAACAGCAAACAAAGATTGAGGTGCTTGCGTGAGCTCACGATGTGACTGCGAAGAAAATTAATGACATCATCGGGGGTCAGTCACATTATCGCAATTCACGCAAGACGCAGTTGAAAAATGCGCTTGTGCACGCTAAGTCAAAGGAGATGAATGCAGGTAAGCAAAACACATTTACTTGAAGGTATTACAACGCTTATCTTATGTCAATTAGGCCTACCTGTAGGGTCTCGTTATTCGTTGCCAGAGCTCCGCGAAATGGTCGCAAGTGACCCTAAGACGAAACACTTGACGAGCGAAGAAAAGGTCACTTACATTTCGGCACTCGACGAGCATCGCGCAAAGAAAGTGGTTGGTGTTCGGCTGAACAATTTGGCAGCTGCGTGTGACGTTGTAGCTACAACGGATAGGATTGTCAAGGAGGTGAGTCTGTCCCAACCCGCTACAATGAACTCAACTCACGGTTTAATCGTTCGAAGCTGGATAGCCTGCAAGTTCGGAGTGGCATCTATGCGACACTATTTGTCGTTCGTGGCCACATTAACGATACGGTTCAAAGTGCAATGCATGGAACAGACAACTCGGAAGACTTCTGGGAGGACGTGTATGAGCATCCTATGGCTGATTTCCTCAGGCAATATGAGCAATGGGCATGCACCCAGAATCAAAGTAAGTCCTTCACATTTTTGTATACTAGCTCATTCAATACTCTACAGATATCAACGAACGGGACTCTTTGGAAACAGTACGGAAGCAGGTACGTAAGATGATTGTCCGTGGTCTTGGTGAGTAAGAACTTGTTTTACATGTGCTGTCCTCGATTAACGTTGTTTACAGTCGCAGTGACCGGAAAAAAGGATATCGTCATGAACTATAACAACTACGATACAGCCATCGTTGAGACATATGGGGTGCGCCTAGTGGGGTGGCCCCATGGTGTTAATTTCATTAGCCCTTCCAACATCAGGACCGTTGGCGACATTCGCAAACTTCGAGATGCACTCAAGGCTCGGACGTGTTACTGGACCGTTCTCTCACCAGCAGAAATTAAAGCTCACACTGCCGAACTCGAAACACGCCGTTCGGCTGGAGAAGTCATTCGCAAGCCGCGAAAAAAGTGTTCAGATGCTGGAGTACCTCGGAAGCGCAAAGGTAAACAAAATAAGAATGAAAGGTCGTCGAAGAGAGCAAAAATGAATCCAGCCCAGCTTCTGCAAGGTCCAAAAAGCGCTGAATTTGTAGAGTCGTCTGATGAAGAGGATGGTGATGAGTAGTAGTAGTTTCCATTGCCTTAGTTTAGTCTACCAACGAATGCAACCCATTTACCTGTGCATGTATCGTCAAAATCCGCTTTCAATCCGATCACTTGGACGTAAGATATGCGAGCTCATCATGTCACACAGCGAGCTCGAAGGTTTGGATATTTATATCTGATGCCGGGAACACGTCACGTTTGCCGATATGCCGGTGGCACCCAAGCTTATAGTCCTACAACGCTATATAAAGTTGCTCGTTATTGACGAGATATTGAAGGAGGCGGTGATCTGCTGTATCCACCTCATCTTACACGTGCGAAACCCATGCATTATCACCTATAATTACGGTACTTATGTGGGAGTCACAGGTGACATTAATATTGATGTCACCACTAGGAATGTCATACACATAGTCTACATAACCTAGCTAAGCGCCTAGAGTTTTGCCAAGTTTTGCCACCCTGGCAAAACAACCGGTTTTGCCAGTTATAACCGGCAAAACTAAAGCCAAGTAGTTTTACCCCCCACACTACCTATACCGCCGTCATGCCTCTCCTTTCGAAAGCTTCCAGCCTTGGCCTTGTTCACATTCTTTCACTAGATCTGGATAAATTTACAGTTAACAGTGGACGGGAATAAATCGGGACAAACATCCCCCGGAACAACCCAGAATGTAACGGTAACCAGCGAGCGGTGAGCGGTTGAAACCTGTGAGACTTCGAAACACCAATCAACCTTGAAACACACAACCAACCTCTTATAAGGATCTAAAGGTTCGAACGAATACTTATAATCATCATTCATCTATGGTAGTGGCGCAGTGGCAGGCATTGAGACAACTTGAAAACTTTGTAGAGCAACAGTGAGCGCTAGCCTTGGAGTACACCGTAATCCTTGGCCAGGGCGTCAACCAGGCACAAAAAATATCTCTCGCGGATGTCGATGATTGATAAAGTATTGATGAAGTTCCAGGGTCCCTGTATTACTAGTGCTTCTTGGGCGATGGGCTCAAACTCAGACTCCACATATGACCTTCTTGAGCGCTCTTTCGCCTCACATGTTTGGTATGTTATCCTAAAGATTCGCTTGATATACTAACTGGTGCTTGCGCAGATCCTGTTTGTTGTTCTTTGATCACACGTGCCCTTCAAGTCTAACCCTCTAAGTTCAAACTATCACGCCTGTCTATCATCACCCAATCTCGAACGTATTCTTTTCTCCACACCACTGCCGCCACCCAAGAACACCCAGAAAATGTCTGATCGACGAGTGGCCTTGCTGAACAAACGGTTCTTTGATGTTCTCAAGGGCAAAGTCCCTATCGAGCCACGAAACTGTCACTTGTTTCTCGATTCTATATGTTCCCAACCAGATGTTGCGGTATGCGTAAGCAAGATAGTGGGAGAATCAAAAGGACCCTCTATTGTGCAGGAGGCGATGCGACTGGACTTGTCGGCAGATTTTATGAATGGCATTGGTGCTGATGTTCTTGTATATCTCCTCCAGGCCACAAGCATCAGCAGCAACGTGCTAGATCACCTGTTTATCCAAATAGTCGAACCAGATTTCTTCTGGTCGGTGTTTAGCCACGCTTTTGCTCGTGGAGAGCTACTTGAAAAAGCTCAACGTGCCTTCGCTAGCCTCCTCCTTCGGCTATTGAACCTCTCCAACCACGACACAACACCCTATCTCGAACTAGCTGGCAGGCCAAATGTGCTCCCAAAACTCACAGGCTCTGAAAACTTGGAAGTCCGCCTTATTGGAGAGAAGATTAAGCATATCCTTTCGACGTATGGCTCCTCAGCCCCTCCCCCGGCTGCCAATGGCCCAGGTGGACGACATGACAATGATTTTGTCAATTTTCGCGATATCGCTATCCTTCCCACAGCCGACGAAATTAGATCCAAACAGCTACCATTCCTGCGCCGTAGCTCGGAGTTAGAAGATGAATCCGGAGAAAGCACTCGTACCGCGGATTATATCGACAACACATTTCGCCTTCTTCGTGAAGACATGATAGCGGAGATGAGAGAAGAACTTCAAGCACTGGAAGGAAAGAACGTCAAGCGCCACCGCGCTAACCTGATAGACGGTGTCATACTCAAAGGCGTTTATCATGGCACTGATGATCGGAAGATGCTGTGGGGAATAACATTGGAGTGTGTCGACGAGCTGCCATCTCTGAAGCGCATCCCCCCGAAGGACAGGAAAGCGTACCTCACAGATGATCACGCTGGCTCCAAGATCCTTCGTCACCAATCACTCGTCTGCGTGGTGGTTGATAACGAAGTGGTCGGCTTTGGCACTGTGAACCGGGTGGAAGATCTCTTGATCTGCAGCCCTCCTATTATCGTCATTCAACTAGATGGGCGGGCGAGTACAAGCAGAACCATCCTCCGGCTCCGCAATGCCAAAAACGCAAAGCTCCTCCAGATTGACACTGCTCTCTTTGCTTTTGAGCCGGTGCTCAAGGCATTGCAGAAGACGCAGCACATCCCAGTATCGGATGAACTGCTGTTCTGGAAGCGTGGTGTTACTCTGCAGAACCCCCCGCAGATGGCTGATGGCGTTATCACAGCCATTGAAGCCAACCGTTCTGGAAACTTGCAACACTTGCTTCAGACCCCCAACCCTATACAACTAGATCGCTCGCAAGCTTTGTCGATTCTTTCTGGCCTGACTCAGAGGGTGTCTTTGATACAGGGTCCTCCAGGTATGTTCTTTGATGATATGAATACCAAGTAATGCTTATGTAGCGGGTCAGGGACCGGAAAGTCATTTGTGGGCGCCCTCTTAGCAAAAGCACTACACGACTTCACCGATCAGACGATTCTTGTTGTTTGTTACACCAACCATGCCCTGGACCAGTTTTTAGACGATCTTCTCAAAATCGGCATTCCTGATGACCATATGGTTCGACTCGGAGGTAGAGCTAAACCGCAGCTGGCGCATCTCAACCTCTTCAGTCCTAGCCAGAGAACGTCCCAGTCCCCGCGGACTAAGGTGGATTGGACCATGATCGATGAATTCAAGGCCAGACTTAAATATCTATGCAGTCGCCTGGACAACTCCGTTGCAGAGTTCATGGCACATAGGATTCGTTATGAGGATATCTTGACGCATATCGAGTTCGAGGATGAGTCTTATTTTGAGGCTTTTCGCATTCCCAAGTCAGATGACGGCATGGCCACTGTAGGCCGCAAAGGTCGGGAGATTGACCCCACGTATCTCATCGCGCTATGGGAAAGAGGCCGTGATGCGGGCTGTTGGAATATGATGTAATCCACACATTGGATGCAGTGAGGGAAACTGTAACGGCTGGATAGTCTAGTGGTTAAGACGTCCCCCCGGAGTTGGGAAGGCCTAGGTTCAAATCCTGGTCCTGCCATGATTTTGGTGTTCAATAGGTTATGAGCCCTGTTGACGGATGTGACCTTAGAAATAGGCACAACTTCCGCTGAACCCAAAAAATGGTACCTTGTAATCCCTGTGTGGATTAAGGGGGTGTGTTGGAATATGATGTAATCCACACATTGGATGCAGTGAGGGAAACTGTAACGGCTGGATAGTCTAGTGGTTAAGACGTCCCCCCGGAGTTGGGAAGGCCTAGGTTCAAATCCTGGTCCTGCCATGATTTTGGTGTTCAAGATTAACATGGGCATCTGCGGACGGCAGAATCGAGTCGCATTTGGACTACTCCCTTGCCTGCCCGTAAGAACTTGATGGCAAAATGGACAAATGACCTTCAGAGGCAGATGGTAGATGATATTGGCTCCGTTGGCCGAGACTACAACAATTGTCAAATAGATCTCGCCCGGAAGCTTGGCGAGTCGTTGGTCGCAACGCTCAAGGCGAAAAGGATCATTGCATGTACAACGACAGGTGCCGCGAAATTCACTGAAGACCTCCGAACTGCTGCTCCCGATGTCGTCCTTGTGGAGGAGGCTGGAGAGATTTTGGAGAGCCATATCCTGACTGCTTTTGGCGCAAACACAAATCAACTGATCCTTATTGGAGACCACAAGTATGTTTTCAATCACTACCTTCAGCGCCTTATTCTGAGTTATGAATTTAGGCAATTGAGACCGAAAGTCAATAGCTATGCCCTCCAGGTCGAGAGTGACCAAGGATATGACTTGAACAGGTCGCTCTTCGAGCGCCTTGTTCTAAAAGGATTCCCTCATGCTACTCTCACCGAGCAACATCGTATGCGGCCTGAAATCTCCGCCCTTGTTCGCGAACTCACATACCCCGAACTCACTGATGCCGCCAGCACCCGTGGCAGAGACGATATTCGTGGGATCCAAGATAATATCATTTTCGTCAACCATGCTCACCCTGAGGACAACGAGGGCAGAGTCAGTGATCGCAGCGATCTTGGTTCTACAACTTCAAAACAAAACTCTTACGAAGCCGGCATGGTTCTGAAGATTGTCCGGTACCCTCGCTCAACAAGGTTATGGGACAGATAATATCGTCGTCCTAACGCCCTATCTTGGGCAGCTCTCCAAACTTCGGGAATATCTCAAGGCAGACAATGACCCGGTGTTGAATGACCTCGACTCTTTTGACTTGGTCCGTGCGGGGTTGCTCTCTCCAGACGCTGCAAAAGCATCCAAAAGGAAGATAAGACTTGCTACCATAGGTATGAACTCCACCACAACGAATTCCTGAAGTTCGACTGACTGGAGCAGACAATTACCAGGGAGAGGAAAGTGATATCGTGGTTACTAGCTTGACACGATCGAATCCTGATGGCGCTATCGGATTCATGAAGTCCCCTGAACGTTTGAATGTCCTCTTGTCTCGGGCCCGTGATGGTCTTATTCTCATCGGCAATATGGACACGTTCGAGAGCAAGTCCACCCTTTGGAGTCGTCTATTCAGTCTTCTCAGACAGGCTGCACACATCTATGAAGGGTTCCCCGTTAAATGCGAGCGCCATCCTGCGCGGAAGGCCATTCTGCGAGATGCTAATGATTTCGATGATCGATGTCCAGATGGTGGTTGTTCGGAACCTTGGTTAGTGTCCTTTCAACAGTGTTCGGTGCATCTCGCTGACCTTGCTCCTTTAGTGGTGCCATGCTCAGTTGCAACGTGCACCCTTGTCCCTCAAAGTGCCACCAACTTTCTGATCACTCCAAAATACTTTGCCAACAAGTGTTATTTGGAAAATGTACGGCAGGCGTCCACAAAGTTTCATGGAAGTGTCATCAAGGGCCTCGCACAAAATGCACTCCGTGCGAGAAGGATGCAGATCGCACTGAAAAGCAATTACTGCGCGACGCAGAAGTCCAGCAAAAACGCGATGCCGAGCAAGCTGGCTTTGATACTCAAATGGCTGAAATGGATGCGAGACTTAAGGCCGAGGTCGAAGTTATTGCAGATGCTAATACCGCGAAGCAGAGAGAGGCTATGCTTAAGCAGAAGGAACGGGAGATCGAAGAGGCAAAAGTTCGCGCGCAGAAATTAGCAGGTTCCTCGAAAGACGGCAGTGCAAACCCATCCAAGCCGACAACTTCTCCCTCACAGCAATCCTCCGATCCTTCGTCTGCTCAGACTGCTCCTTCGCAACCTCCCGGTAGCCAAAAAAAGCTCTGCCGCTCGCGACGACTGGGAGTCACAGAAGAGACTCTTAGGCGAGCAAAACGATGCGATTGATAGTATTATGGCGATGACTGGACTGGAAGGAGTGAAGTCGCAAGTTCTACAAACCAAAGAGAAGCTAGACTTGATGAAACGCCAGGGAATACCTGCGAACAAGGAGCGTCTGAACCTTGCACTCTTGGGAAATCCAGGAACAGGTAGGAGCCCTTCTTTGGGTAATCCTTTCGCGCTCATTTAAACTTTTCTGCAGGGAAGACAACGGTCGCAAGGCTATATGCCCAGTTTCTTGAATCGATACAAATTCTTCCAGGAAGCGCATTTAAGGAAACCACAGGAGCGAGCTTGGCACATGATGGCGTCGGTGGCGCAAAGAAGCTCATTGAAGACGTTATGAAAGTTGGCGGTGGTGCCATATTCATCGACGAGGCCTATCAGCTGGTTAGTGCACAGGGTGGGTCTGGTACCGACGTTCTCGACTTCCTGCTAGCAGAGATGGAGAACCGCGTTGGAAGCCTAGTTTTCATCCTTGCCGGGTACAGCCGTCAGATGGAGAAATTTTTCAATCATAATCAAGGTCTTCCGAGTCGTGTCCCGCATCGATTCACCTTCGAGGACTACACCGACGAAGAGCTCCTTGACATGTTCGCTGATCTGGTGGAGAAACAGTTCAGAGGCCAGATGAAGGTTGAAGACGGCATCCGGGGACTTTATAGTCGAATCGCAGTCCGACGCCTGGGTCGTGGACGCGGCCGCGAAGGGTTTGGAAATGCCCGTGCACTGCAAAATATGTTTGCACAGATACGTCAGCGACAGGCCGCGAGGGTAGGAAAAGAACGCAAGAACGGATCGTCACCAGACGATTTCTTGCTCGTTAAGGAAGATCTTATTGGTCCCAATCCGAATTCCGTTCTTCCGCAGTGCCCTTCATGGATAAAGTTACAAAAGCTCACTGGTCTTGAATCCGTGAAGCAATCTGTCAGCAACCTCTTCAACCTCATTAGGGCGAACTATCATCGCGAGTTGGCAGAAAAGCAGCCTCTCGATATGGCCCTTAACCGAGTTTTCCTGGGCTCCCCAGGCACTGGCAAGACCACTGTCGCCAAACTCTATGGTCAAGCACTGGCAGACCTAGGGCTTCTCAGTAACGGGGAAGGTTCGGTGTTCCGCTGAAGAATGTTCGAGGATCATTACCTAATTGCCGTCTTTAGTTGTGGTGAAGAACCCTTCAGATTTTGTCGGGCAGCATCTCGGGCAATCCGAACAGAACACTAAGGCCATCTTGGAGAGTACTGTCGGAAAGGTCCTGGTCATTGACGAGGTGGGTATATATGTTCGCCTTCACCTCGTGGTTCTCATTGTCTCGCTAGGCATACATGCTGCATAGTAAGAATGGTGGTGCCCATGACCCCTATAAGACCGGCGTCATTGACACCATGGTTGCGGAGATACAGAACGTACCAGGGGATGATCGGTGTGTTCTGTTATTAGGATACAAGGAGCAAATGGAAGACATGTTCAAGGCAGGTGTACGACTTCATGATCAGGACCTGACTCTGACGTGTGAATCAGGATGTTAATCCCGGCTTTGCTCGTCGCTTTGCGATTGAAGACGCATTCATGTTTGAAGACTTCACCGAGCCCCAACTAGAGGAAATCTTTCAACGCAAGCTAAATGACCAAGACCTTAGTGCAACAGAGAAAGCCAAGCAAGTAGCGCTTGGTCTTTTGAGCCGGAGAAAGAACCGTCCGAACTTTGGGAATGGAGGAGAAGTGGAAAACATGCTGACTTTTGCGAAAGATCGATATTTAAAACGGCAGGCATCGCAACCTTCCCATCTGTCTCAGGACATCGTCTTCGAACCAGAAGACTTCGATCCTAATTGGGACCGTGATCAACACGCTGCAGCAAACTTGGCTCAGTTGTTCGAAGATATGGTTGGATGCGAAGCTGTTATTCAGAAGCTGGGAGATTACCAGAGCATGGCGCAAGGGATGAAAGCATCGGGACTAGAGATGCGCAAGCAAATCCCTACCAGTTTCATCTTCAAGGGACCACCTGGTAATCAAACTATGTCCGAAGTTGTGCATGTGTTGATACCTTCTCTTCAGGAACCGGAAAGACGACCATCGCAAGGAAATTTGGTCAAGTCTATTATGACATGGGCTTCCTCGCAGCCACAGAACTGGTCGAGTGTTCCGCATCGGATCTCGTTGGCGAGTACGTTGGCCAAACAGGTCCCAAGACGAAGAAACTTTTTGAGAAGGCCATCGGCAAAGTCCTCTTCGTGGATGAAGCTTATCGGCTCAGCCAAGGTCATTTTGCGCAGGAAGCCATCGACGAAGTCGTGGGGCTGATGACCAATGAGAAGTTCATGGGTAAGATGGTCATCATCCTGGCAGGATATGAGAAGGAGATGAACCAGCTTTTGGGCGCGAATCCTGGGCTTTCCAGTCGATTTTCCGAGGAGTTCATTCTGCCTAATATGTCATCGACCCGATGCCTGGAGCTGCTTGACAAGGAACTGCGTGGGTCAAAGGTTGTCGTTCAAGGGCTATCTGATCCATCATCATCACTATACAAGGAGATGCTAAGCATCATCGCTGATATGGCAAGCCTTGAAAACTGGGGCAATGCACGTGATGTAATATCTATTGCGAAACGGCTAGCTCGCCCTGCGTTCATCTCGGCCGGGAAAGCTCCAGGGAGTTCACTGGTCGTTACATCAGAAGATGCATTGAGTATCATGAGAAGACAACTCTCGGAGCAACAAGAACGTCTCAACTTGCCCAGCAAGACGGTGTCACCAACCCCCGGTGTCCCACAGATGGCTATGTCAAGAAACATCGCCCCTCCTCCTCCTTCAACCTCTCAGAGTGTGTCTACTTCAGCTCCTCCAAAGCCCCCTACTTCCAAGCCATCTCGTAAACGAATGCAGCAGCAACCCAAACCTCCCTTCGATGGGACACCTCCGCTAGACACCACGGTTTCATCTCAGGTTAGCGTCGTACACTACATAAAACAGTGAAGAGATTACTCAAACGAAGTTTATCGCTTGCCCAGACAAATGACCAGGTGCAACGGGATCCCGGTGTAGATGATGCCACTTGGACGAGGCTGCAGGCGGATAAAGCAGCTGCGGAAGCAGCCGAAAGGGATGCCGCTGAGGAGTTGCGAAAGCGTGATATTGCACAGCAGAATGCCCTGAACGAGCTGCGAGCTGCTGCAGCTGCTGCACAGAAACTCGCGCAGAAACTAGCGAATGATAACGCCAATGAACAGCTCATGCGCCAACGAGAGGCCGCTCGCATCCGAGAGCTAGGGGCTAAAGCTGCTCGAGAGAAAGCCTTGGCCGAGCTGAAGAAGAAGCAGCAAGAGGAAGAGAGGAGGAGGCGCGAGGAGGCTCGAGTACAGCAGAAGTTGCGGGAAATGGGTGTGTGTGTTGCAGGCTATCGCTGGATCAAGCAGTCGCAAGGTTATCGATGTTCTGCTGGCGGCCATTTTATTTCGAATGACCAGCTGGGTATCTAGGTCAGATTTGATATCTAAAGTTACTGTATTGTATGTCCAGATGATGAACCTACCTAGGTTGAAGTTGCAGCAAATGGGTGTGTGTGTTGCAGGCTTTCGCTGGATCAAGCAGTCGCAAGGTTATCGATGTGCTGGTCACGGTGATGCTCATTTCATTTCGAATGACCAGCGTCTGGGTAATCCTGGGGACTCGGATTATGTCACGTGATTCTTTCATTATTTTTTCGTCCTAGTACTTGCATGCACGACATGCACAATTTGATATCTAAAGTTACTGTATTGTATGTCCAGAGGATGAACTTATGGTATTTACCAGTGCAATATTGGTCCACCCGTTCGATGTACCTGAGCAAAACACGTCTCGCCTTTTTTGCCTTGTGACTATGTCACATTGTCAGTGCTGACTCTACCGTGACTCACTACCCCCTCTTGTCTCCTCCTGGCTGGCAAACCCAATGTTCACTAAGATTATCAGTTCTCATTACCTCCCCCCACGTGAATAACCTCCGTCTGGCCATTGATCCCACAGATCATCTAGTGTCCCTCAAATCACACAGCCCAGAATCCCTACCCCTAGCGATGTTGGTGTTTTCTGTCTAATCTCACAAAGCACGAATAACAGTATCTTTAGGTTCATCAGTCTGCCGAAGGTGCTCCCTGACTCCAGCCTTCTCGTTTACCGCTGCAACAATTTCAGCAGCAAGCACAACATTCACGCCAACTGCGACCACAGGTCCTACACACCCTGCCACCTCATCAGCTGCAATGCGCCCATCAAGCATACGCTCAAAGGAGGGTTTCTGATGGTGTTCACAACGTACGTCTAGTTTCACTGCTTCTAAGTTTTCAAGTAATTCTTGTATCAGCCTTACCCACCTCAGCAATCCCTTCCTATGTCGCAGAGATGGAAGCTCCCACCACCAGCATCCGCACCCCCAATGTTTGGAGCCAGGTCGCTCACAGAATTTGCACGCATGCCTTCTATTCCAGCCCCGGTTAATCCCAATCGCCCTCAGCAACCGCCTTTCACCCATCCGCATATGCACACATCGCAAACTATGTATCAAAACACATCAGTACCACTCGTGCCTTTCGATCTACACCTCAAGTTGTACACCGCCACGCCAGGTCCTACTCTATCTGTAGATCTGACCGGGGAAGACGAATGGATGACAGAACAAGCTAGAGGTGGGCGGTTTGATCAGTCTAGTGGTCTAAAACGCACGAGTTCTGCCGTGGATGGTTCAATGACCCAGGATATCGAGTTGATAAAGAGACAAAGGACTGCAGAGCCCACTCATTCGCCTTAGAATGCGATCGTCAACATGAACCCTGAGCAAAAACCAGCCTCCCCAGACACTATAGTCGGTTCAAAACCAACCTCACCAGTCTCACCCTCGCTTTCTGCGCCACTTGCCAAAGAAGAGATGGACACGGCCTCAGCAGGCCAAGTGGGCGTTTCGAACGACAAGGTTGTGATTGCAGTCACGCCTTCAGACATTGCAGTTGGTTCCAACCCAACTTCGCCAAGCTCCGTCACACCGTCACCTGCCCAAGAACAGACACCTGGTCCACCGAGTGGAGATAATTTGCAATCCGTCGAAGCATATGTCTATGAGTCAGATGCTGAAGTAGCTTATGGATATTTCTGTGGCAGATGCCTGTAAGTCAAGCCTCGTTCTGCATGCTCGCAGTCCTTATCGTCTCTTCCAGTGATCGCTTTGAAATGGGGATGATACCCAAACAACCGGATGCGTTGGTGAACCCAAAGGTTGAAGACCTCTTTATGCATTGTACGCAGGAGCACCCTGCAATTTGGGAGGACCTCCGTCATAAGAGAGACCTTGCGGCAGTAGCGCCAGCACCACCACTTTCGTGACTCTCCTTCATATTTCATGTCCCTACGCTAGCACGTCTTACGCATATTATTATCCTGTGTCCACTAGAGTTGCGATAATTTTATGCTATGCACATCAGGAAATGTCAGCCATACCATGCATACACGTTGAGCTGTCTAAGCCTTGATTCGAATTCTAACTGCCCACGACATGAATAGGTTCTACAGCTCTTCGCCTCACTGGTCGACTAAGATATGTTCAATGCGAGCCACCCGACCATCGACATTGTAACTGACCGGACCGTACACACTATCGAGAAGCCACCCGGTGCATCCTCATCGGCGTATTTATACTATTTTTCTTCCAGGGTATCATCGTCATCGAAGCTGGGCAATACTACGAGGTACTACAAGTCAATCGGTGCCCATACGAGTGATACCGAATCACTGGGAGTCATTAATGCTACCACTGAAGATTCTTGAAGATGGTCACGCAGGCTTTGAAGGGCTTTTGAACATCGACTGGCACAAGAGTTTGTAAGGGCGACCAGCACGCAACTGCGTCTCCTGATGGAATCACTTGATCCATGGTCCTCAGTATGCGCTCGGACGAACTCAGATCAGAGCGGTAGCATTTGAAGTCATGCCCAGTCTGGATTTCGGCGGGTCATCTCACTTGAACAACATCAAATTCAATTGCAGTGCGAGGCGTAGGGTTGACATAGAACAGAACAGTATACTCAGTATGGCTACGATTGGATCATCAGCATGTAGGGCTAGAAGTATTGATTTAGCGACTACCAGGGACGATAAATGCTAAGAACTCACGCATCTCGGCAATTCGACCAGTGTTCTCCATGACTCATGCGACTCAAATCAATCTCTAGCCCACTGGGTATCATAAACACAGTCCCAGGAGAATCAAATGGTTGTTCTCGGGAAGCGGGCAGCACCCAGAAAAGCAGGCGATGATTGGCTCCTACCATCCATCCATCTTCCAGTAAGACAGGCTCGGTTGAATGTTGAGAGGTGGTCTCGAGTAGCTCAGCAGGGTTGTGCAGAGCATGTTCCAAGCTTGAGGCGAAGCAAATGGCGCGACAGCTATCAAAAGAGAATGCGGAGGAATGGATCTCAGTGTGCTCCTGGAATCGCTGCACTTTCGCTGCATTCAACAGCCGGACAGTGGAATCATCTGAACCAGACACGATGCGAGTGCCATCGGGCGAGAACGAGACTGACGTAACCGAATCGGTGTGCCCTCGGAAGGGCTCACCCAATGGCAGCCCCGTCGCTGCATCCCACAGCCGGAGAGTGGAATCTCTTGAACCAGACACAATGCGAGAGCCATCGGGCGAGAACGAGACTGACCAAACCGAAGAAGTGTGCCCTCGGAAGGGCTCACCCAATGGTAGCCCCGTCGCTGCATCCCACAGCCGGACAGTGGAATCTGAAGAACCAGACACGATGCAAGTGCCATCGGACGAGAACGAGACTGACCAAACAAAAGAAGTGTGCCCTCGGAAGGGCTCACCCAATGGCAGCCCCGTCGCTGCATCCCACAGCCGGAGAGTGGAATCTGAAGAACCAGACACGATGCGAGTGCCATCGGGCGAGAACGAGACTGACCAAACCGAAGAAGTGTGCCCTCGGAAGGGCTCACCCAATGGCAGCCCCGTCGCTGCATCCCACAACCGGAGAGTGGAATCTCTGAAGAACCAGACACGATGCGAGTGCCATCGGGCGAGAACGAGACTGACAAAACCGAAGAAGTGTGCCCATTGATGACGGCCTGAATAGCCGTCCAGTTCACAAGACGTCCACGTATCAGACGAAGAGTGTTCGGAAATCTTGCAAACTTTGTGGCTATCGTAGAGTTGATGGGCGAAAATGGCAGCGCCGATACATACAGATGTGGGGTGCTGTGTAAAATCATCGCACCAAAGATTCGGACGAATCTCTGCACATCCATTGCAGTGGACAACACATCTTTGTATTCGGATTGGTCCTGTGTTCGCGGGTGAGCACTTCGCCTGCCGCCAGATGACTCTGTTCTCACCTTCAGCCACTGGGAAATGAGTGGAAGCACGGCAACTGCGCTGCCGAGTGTATTCAGGAGGCCGAGTGCTTCAATCCAGAACAATAGCCGCTCGTTGTCGAAGAATGATCTTATTTCCTTTGCGAGCTCCGGGTTGAAGGCCGTTGCTCGTACGTGCGTAGCCCAAAATCGGCAGGAATAGGACAGATGCGAGGGAATGCATCTTGCGACTCGATCCTGCAACCCGATGTCTTCGCTATTAGGGCGGTATGAAGACTTCAAATTACACATATTGAAGTGAAGGTCATGTTCCATCACTCCAAGTGATGCAAAAGCAAGATCGCGTTGCGTGTTCGACAAGTCCACGAAAATGTCCTTGCTGGATGATTTGTCTGTCAGGAAATCACGGAAGGATGCGTGAAGCGGTCGGATGGGGCTAGATGGGTTGGTGGTGCCGCTTAGCAGGGATCCCATATATTTTACCACAACTTCCACTTTGTATTGCTCCCTTTCGTCTGGAAAATGATTCCGCATGACATCCAAGGCCCCTAAAGGGAGGGGCTCGGCTGAACCAAGTATTTGTCCCATCACAGAATGAAACTTCGCTAGCGCTCGCTGATAACCGGCTTCTGAGGTATGTCTGTCCTTCCGCATGTTTTCTTCTAAAATGAAGGTACATATGCCATACAACAAGTTTTCCCGCTCTCCATTATTGTGGGACATGACATCATTGAAGCGATCGATTGCGCATGAGCCAGGAGCGATTTCTTGGATGTATTCGCATGCAAGACGCGCCCACTCGAATAATCCGCCAGCTTTGTCAGCGAGGTCCGCGAACTGTCTGTCCCGAAAATCTGGCAGCTCTTTCAGCTTCTCAGACACAAAAGTATGGATGTCGCTCTTTGAAACTGCTTCTGGAATGTCGTCCATGGATAACCGTAGAATATGTTAAGCGCCGTGAAATGCATTATCAATATCAAGAAGTGGGCGAGAGGTGACGAGAATCCGAAAGTTGGGAGGGAGTCCGGTGATTTGGGGAAGACCTTTCTCCTGAAGTTTCCCGGCAAGTATGCGGAGAAGGCTACGCCGTGTCTCGACTTCGCCGCTCTCGTCCAGCGCTTCGATCACAATTAAGACGGGCCCCACACTCGACCTAGAATACTCCTTTAGCGGTTCCATAAACAGCTTGTGCCACTGCTGGATGATATCTGTCGTGTTCTTGAGCGCATTTGCATGTTCGATTGCATGCGCCAATGCTCGTCTCATCTCCGGATCACGATCAGCGAGGTCGCTAGCGATGGTGGAGAAGACTTTTTCATGACGCTTCTCGGTTTTAAGGTCCCGGTCGAAGCAGAAACACGAACCAAGCCCTCCCCAGTCGTTGAACCAGTTAGCGATTGTGTGAGCGATGGCTGATTTGCCCGTGCCCGCAGGGCCGGATAGCCACAGCACGCGCTGAGCAGCATCTTGGCCGTTGATCCATTCAGTGATCCGGGAGAGAATGTCCGTGCGCGTCCCTGGTAGACATAGTTTCGCGGTATGTAGTCCCGCGCCTGCTGCGTAAGGCATAGTGCTGAGATCCAGTTTGTCACCCAGTTCGTCACCTGTAGGGGCATGAGTGGATGCATAGTCAGAAGTACGTCCGAATCCTTACTCGTACACCGGACAAGATCGGCTATGTCCCGAATAGCTTGGTCCCGAAATTGTTGCATAAGCCTATCCAAAGCGTCGTTGTATTGTGTAACCAGATCATCCGTCCCCGAGACAGCATTTTTCCCGAGTCTCTTCCCTGTGATGGTATTAGATTGACAATATGTGGAGGGCAATAGCTCGATGACTTACAAAAGCTCTCCTCCGAGTAGTCCCGGACGAAACGCGCGCACTCTAAAATCTGCTGGGCAATCCGTCCAGCGATACTGCGCTGGGATGGAATCTTGCTAAGAGTGTCGTCTTGTGACATGAAGCGGCAAACATCTTCTAATTTCGTGAGAAGAGATTGTACCGATTGGTCGCGTTTTGTTTGTGCGAGAATAATCTGCATAGAGTCAACAACTGCTGAACAGGAGGGGGAGCTACACGTACTTTGGATGCAGCGGACAGCACACCCAACACCATCTTCGCATAAGGATGTACCTATGCATCTTGATTAGTTCGCTTCCGGCCAAGAAGAGTGGCCCATACATTCGCAAGATTCTCAATGACAGTGTCAAAATTTTTGAGTGGTTGAAGATATGTAGTCTGGAAATCGTCCGCAGCATCGAGATCTTTTGAACCATCCTCGGCTGCGGATGCCACAGACTTGCCATGTCCCCCGAGTAGTCTCATGTTTCCCGCATGCTCACGGGTATCTTGAAGTTTAGCATCAACTGATTTGAAATCAGGAATCCCTTCCACACCAGATGAAGCCTGAACCTGTGCCCAAACCAAAACTTAGAGACAAAAGCAAATCATTTGATGTAAATACCTTCGAAACAGGTTCTTCGGGCGCTCCTTGGTTTAAACAGCCGCTGGGATTCTCAGGCTTGTTATCATCGGAAGGATGCAGACGCGACTCATCCTTGGTGGACCTCAGACAAGTTCAAGATTAAAATAATGAGCACCTACCTCAATATTCTGATTCGATGAGGCACCTTGATGAGCATCGTTCTGGACAGCAGGGGTTTGGTGGCGAGCACATTTGAAGCGTTTCTGCATAATATGAGCCATATCCCGCTCCCCCCACATTCATGTGGACGTACAGAAATCTTTGTGGTCGCATTCTTCTTAAGTTTCCGCAGGGTCTGACGGAATCCGTTACGGGGCTGGTTCTGGATGAAGGATGCGTCAGAGGCGGCGACGATGTTATTAGCGCTCGTCGACAATGATCTCATAAGGGCACATACCGAGCTTTCGCCAGCAGCTGCTTCTCTGAATCCAGAGGCCCCTGGAGGAGGTTTAGGCCTGTGGTCTTCGGTCATTGTGAATAGTCAAAGATTGGGATCAGCCTGAGGGAATGGGTGGAAGAATTAGAGGGAGGGGAGAGTACCCGGTAGAACGAAAAACAAAAATATCTTCAAGGCAGCGCTAAAATCATTCAGCCACGTTCAAGTCATGATTGGGCAGGCACTAGCGACACTTGAGAGAACCATGGAAGAAGCTCGATTTATTTGAAGTTACTGGTGCAATACATACATATGTGCATGGGCACGTTAACGGAAGCACAAACTTGTAAGTATGGAAAGTGGGAGTGATCTAGTGTCAAGTGATCAGATTCAGTTGAGCTACCAATACAAATCGCTTGTCCCGGTCCGAAAAAATAATAATTCTGTCCTCCTATAGTTCCCACGGCCACCATGCGTTATTCCAGCCATGATCAACTGACAACTCTAGGACTCTACATAACATCCGTGATGCATTGATGTATAATTAAAGCTCTATACCGCGGACGTCTGCGCGATAGCCTCCGCCTCATCTGGGCTCTTTGCATCCACCACGAGTACTCCTCCACCCATAATAGCTTTTATGCCAAGAAGTGGGCCTCTGTCGAGCTGTCAGTCATGTTCTGGTCAGCCAGTCGAACATCACAAACGAAACTAACGCACAAGGCCTTCAAGGTGATCCGCTCTGTCCTCTTCCATCACTGTCACTTCTACCGGAGGAACCTCGTCGTCTGCGACTTCCACGCACATCCCACCCTAGGCCATCCATGAGCAACACCTTATAATGAATGCCCGCTACACTCACCTGAATCCGCACCTCTACCCTCACCCAAGCCGTATTAACTATGGGTCCTTCAAGTTTTCGCTTCCATGTTCCCCCGCCCAATCTCACAATTGCGCTCACTACTTGCAAGATACACAACCCATGACTCACAAGTGCGATATGCTCGTCCCTCCCAGACCTCGCAACATTCACCACATGAGGAAGCACAACCTCCCTCACTGCCCTCTCAGCCCTCCTCGTCAGATCCTCCACCGACTCCCCACCAGGAAACGCCACGTGTTTCTCACTTTCATATAAAATCGGGTACTTGTCCCCCGCGAAGTGAGCCTCGAGCGTCTTGCCTGGCTCTCGTATGCACGCCTGATGCCCTTCTGCGGCTCCAAAGCTTTGTTCTCTGATCTGGGCGATCGTGAAATCATGAGGAGGCTTGGGTGTGGGCTGCGCATCTAGCACCGCTTGGGCTGTGTCCCGCGCACGGGGTAAAGGGGACGCGTAGATCTTGGTGAATTGCGTGTTTGCGAAGTATGCGCCTACGACGCGTGCTTGCTGTTCTCGGGTTTAGCTTGGGCTGATGAAGAGGCGGGAGAAAGGGCTTACCTGCGTCCCTGATTAGCCAACCAAGATCAGTCGCGATGCTCGTTAGATAAACGCATGTTCAAACTACCACTTACCTCTTTCTGTGAGAGGACATTCCGTGCAGCCTGACCACAGAGCTAGCTGCAACTATCTTGCGATCAGTGGGTATTGCCAGACCACTAATCCAGCCTTACCGCATTGTGCGTGGACTCTCCATGTCTAATCTGAGCATACGCATCAGTGATCTTAGAAGGATCTCCCAGTATTAAATGAACGTACCAATGTCACTGTGAGCATCATGTCTGATCAGAGGTATCTGACACTGATCAATCCGATCGATGGCCTTGCATGGTTTACTTATGGTATATCGAAGTGCAACCGAAATGAGGCTATAGCGTGTCAGAGCATAATTTCGACACGTAGATTTTATTCTGACGAAGTTCTCCCTCGGTTATTTAGCACGAAGGACTGCCACGTTCCATGGAGCTTTAGAAAGAAAACTTTTCTCAAGCGTATAAGTTACCAGAGAATGAGGGTCCCTTTCAACTGGCCAACCACAAGTCCCCTTTGACGCAACTTTGACGCGTTGATTGAATGGATCATAGCCAATGAAAGATCATGACCACGGGAAGGCAACTAGTCGAACTCAGGGTTCTCGCACCTACACATCTCCTATCAGACGCTCGAATCGTGTTGTCGGTCCCGTAAGACTGGAGAAAAAGCCGAGGCCACAGGCAAAACACTGAGGGCTCATCGTAAAATAACAATGGTGACACCGCGGGAACCAGACGTATCCTGGAACATGATCATGACATTCGTTCATTCACCTACAGAGGCTAGAAATATGGAGCTAAAAATCGCTGAGACAGAAAGTAGCTCCACAAAATTGACATGCTGAACTTTTTTATGGAGCCAGCTTGGTTCTCACCCGTTTCCAACTGGAACATCAGGCACCACTGGTAAGCTAACTCGAAGTACGCCGCAAGAGTAGTGATCGATAACTGGCAACACCAAACGGCCAAGAAAGTGAGGATGTTCGGGAAGCTGGAGAACGTGGTTTGACCGCGCCGCGCATTATGATTGCGAACCCCCAACGGGATTGTTTATTGCAAGTAGACCGAGGGATTTGCATCGAGGCGAGTACCGGTTGTCTGCAAAAGTCGGCGTGCTATGAAGTGGGAACTCGTTCAGTTCAGTCCGACCCGAGCAAGAGAGGTCGGAGAGGTCCATACGCCCGAGTACGTGAATAGTGTGTGAAATCTCTGCATTGTCAAGAATAGCAGAGGGAGCCTCTTCTCCAGCTTCATGCTTCATGGTTAAAGGGATTAGTAGGGCGAGCGGTGTCTCTGACTTGATGCTTCACTCTCGAAGTTTTAGAGTCGTTTTTGCATCAAGGTTGGTGTTTAATCTGATACTTTGAAGCTTCAATACTACAGATACAGGTGAGATAAAAACATCGTCGGACTTTGGTAGTACAGCTTTGATGATCTGCAAGACTTGAACCTCAGAAGGACGACCCAGACAACTGCCAGCGGTCTCCGAGACGTCCTAGTGCTTCTATAACCTTAGGCTAGAATGATTTTAGAGTGTCGAAACTCAATACTGTACTCAAGACATACCTTCGGGGTTGTCAATAACTGCGTTTTTAACGGAGTGAGTCAGTAAAACACAAAAACAAGAACAGCACTAGATAATTACCTTCATCGTCGTCTTTAACAAGCACGACTATGCATCTCTCGTTAGACAGGACACGAGAATACAAAGGAATCGAAACGTACATGAGCCAATCCACCGGTCGCGCTTCTCGACATCTGTATCATCCTTAGTGTCTATGCATCTCTCGTTAGACAGGACACGAGAATACAGATGAATCGAAACGTACATTGGCCATACCAAACGTTGCGCTTCTCGACATCTGTGTCGTCGACATTCTTGTAAGACGGGTGCGAAAACAATGTCAGTGCTATAAGAGAAATACCTTGGGAGTGCTCTGACGCAGCGGGTGCTGCTGCTGTCATCTGCAGGAGAGCGATGGAGACGAGAACAAGCGACAAAAATCCTTTCATGATTGCTAGATCTGATGTCACGGTTAAGTGATTGTTTCACAGGGGTGCTGAGTGCACTTCGATTCGAGGAATGCTGCTTTTATATTGCTGCAAGCTCGAATATCAGACTCACCGATTCAGGCTTTGTTTCTTGTATTATTTCGACTCTTTGTTCAGGTATTTCATTTTGCCATTTGCCTGTCTTGAGCTTCAAGTTTGCAATACATTCAATAAGAAGTGAGCAACTCCGACATACTGCGAGTTGCGTGCATCCTGAACAGTGACGTGCAGTGAGTGTCTCTGCACCATTGTGTCATCTGGTCAATGACTTTTCTTTTTACCCGACCATCAGGCGACTCCGCATATGATCTCGTCACTCACTTCATCGTTCGCACAGGGAATATGATTTTGGTGTCAGCAGACTCACCACACCCTGGTAGAAGTATCAATACAACACTGGCCATTGTAGAAGGGTAGGTGTGCATACTTGCCAACTGGTCGATCTCGGAGAAATTTGGCAGGGCGAAGCGAGGAGTTTGAAATTTAGCAGGTGCCGGTCGTGCCGGTGGTACTCGATCGTATGTACGAATCTCCCATGATACTTTGCTCAGTATACTCGATTAACCAACGTCTTGGCACCTTCGATTGGAATCGTTGAAAAAAAAATCTCGCACCTCATTTTATCCGTCGTGTCTGAATTATCATCGGACATATAAACCACATCAATATACCCGACTCCGGCAGCATTGGGATAAGCACCTACTGCATGAATTGGGCTATTAGTACGCAGTTCATTAACTTCAAATGCTACTGACTACCTTCCGTTCTTCGAAAAGCGTACAACTATAGTATCTCTAGCGTCCTGACGTCCATCATATTCTCAATCGAAGTCATGTTCTCGACGCGTGCCACGATACGGTGATCCGACGCAATCCTCTTGTACTCCCAACCACGCTGCTGTGCTACAAAAAGGGCACCAAAAGATTGTCCAAGACGAACGATTAACCTCAACGCTCGCGACTGAGCGTCGTTCTCAACCACTCCGGGAGACTTGTCGGATGGATCTAATGGCGATGGGGGTGTGGACTCCAGCACACTCTGCGCATCGTCCGAGAAATCAGGCAGCCCGAGATCACGACGGTCCCACGGACGGATGAGCAAGAATGTCTGCGGGGTGGGCTGTTCCGGCGAGAATTGAGTCAATGTGTCTTCTGTGGCGATCAGCATGTCTTGAAGCCCGTCTGCCTTGATGTCATAAGTGAAACATTTCTCCCCGTGTTGACCGTGCCTCTGTCTGACTTTTGTGACAGGAAATGCGACGCAAGGCAATTGCAATCTGTAATTCGTGAAACGAGGAACGCTGAGGCTCTCGAGCTGGATATACAGTTTAGCTGACTCCACAGCCACAGTATTTTGCAGCTTGGAGATATATGTCCACATCTCGTCCCCTGGTAGAGATTGGAATGTGTGTGGTGGGGCTTTGTACGAGGTAATATCAGCTGGGAGACAGCTATTGAAGTCAGATGATTTTCCGACCCAGTCTAGGAAGGTAATGTCGCCCGACCGGCCGACAATCTCCTGCAAGAGCCGACCGAGTGCGTTTTGTTTTGTCTCGCCGTATATGACAGGTAGGTGGACACCGAAAATACCAAACAGCGAGTATACAATGTCTTCCTGTAACGTGGTGACATGCGTCGACGCCCATTTCAGCTTCTCTCGGGCGTCTCTCATCCCCGGACGGAAGGCGACGAGGGTCCGTGCGTTTATGCCTGTCGAATCATCCAACTCCCACATGATAGTGTCAGACTCCTTGTGGTTGGGAGAGCGGTCATTGAGATAGAGGGTCCAATCTGCGCGGTAGAAGAGAATGACTCGAGGAGCAAGGAATTCCTGAGTAGTTCATCCTCGTGTGTTCCAATCACTGTTTGCTAGTGCGCCCCACTTCGCCGAAGGTGGGAGATCCGACAGGTAGACAATCGTAAAAGCAGATTGGCGATACCAAACGAACATGGAGTTGACCGATCGTTGGAGCTCAACATTGTTGTTCTGGTCGATGCAACACGTATCGCTCCAGGCCTAACGATACCCCAGATTGCGAGCCTTTTTGCAGAACTTTTGCAGCTTTTCTATGCCGCCAACTCCCTCCACCTCATATACAACCCTGCCTTGGATGTCGCGTAGTGACAGCTCCTTGCGTCTCTATCTATGTGATAACATGACCCAATTGAAGTACTTTGCGACCGCTTCGTCGATGGGCTCCGTGTGGAGGGGCGCATGCATCATTGGCGCATACGAAAGTTCCTTGTACTCCGTACTTTTCGTGAAGATTGTTATCTGCGCCTCCCGATTGCATAAATATCCGGTGGTCGTGTCGAGTAGACGAAATGGGGGGCTTTCCAAATGCGCGTGAATGACTCTTCGAATAGCGCCATCTGCTTTGGATTTAATGACATACTTCTGACGCAGCTCTGCAAAATGAGTGAATAATTTTCAATTCAGCGGATGGGTTCTTCAGGGCTTACGTCGTGTCTGTGGGTCAGGTGAATCATCCAATTTGGAGAGCATGTTGTTCAAGGCCTCAATTGCTTCGTCATGGCGCTGTGCGGTCTAAAGTGCTTCATGCTTCATCTCGTACCCAACATACGTTGAAGGGTTGTGTCCAATGACCTATGAATCAGCGGTATCAGCACAATTGCTAGAACAATGATGGATATCATCCACACCTTTTCTGCGTCGAAAAGGACCTCCCGATAGAGTTTTCGTCCAAGCATCCAGTGCTCAATGCAGGAGTTGTATGAGGAATCCAGCTGCATCGCTGTGGAAAGTGCTCTCTCGACCATCCAAACCCGAACCTGCCCATCATTGCCCCCGCTCACGAGCAGTTCTGCATTGGGAGAAATTCCAATGCAGGTAGCCACCACGGTGTAATTAAGTGTCTCTCCTATCTGCTGGTGTGTCTCTGTGCACCACAGCCGCACAGTCTGGTCGCTCGAGGCAGTGGCAATGAAGGAGCCATCAGAAGAGATGGCGAGCGAGTTTATATAGCGCGTGTGACCGGTGGAAGGTTGACCGATCTGATGTCCATTCGACGAGTTCCAGAACATGAGTTCATTATATGATATGGAGACAATTTGCTGGCCGTCAGGTGACCACACAATGCCTCGAACCGGCCGGTATAGCACAGTGTCATTGAGCCGGAAAAGAAGCCTGAGGGTATCGGTGCGCCGAACATCGATGTAGCCACCCAATGATCCACATGCCAGTTTGAGTCCATCTGGGCTGAATGCTACTCCCAACACCCCAGAAGCTGGGGTGTTGTTACGTCTGTGCTTCCGTTCATAACTTGCTAAGACATTACAAGTCCTTGAATCTCACATAGTGACCTCATCATCATTCTCCCCGCCACCTGCGAGTCTCTTGCCATCCGACGAGAAGCACGCCGAGTTCAACGACGTCAGTTCATAGTACATCTCCATTTTCTCGATGTCCCAGATGATGATACCGTGAGATCCAGCACTGGCAATTAGACCGTCGTCTGGGGAAACGGCGAGTGATCGCAAAGTGCCTCTATTGAGTCCCTCGGGCTCGAATGGTCCTCCTACTGATGTTCCGTCTCTGCATCCCAAATTCGCAGGGTGCTATCTGATGAGCCAGTAACAACCCGTCGACTGTCATTGAAGAACACGACTACCTGCACTTTGCTTGTGTCTTCTATCATCCACATTAGCGCCGGTTCAACTGCAGTTGTCTCAGGCTATTCGGGTTCCTCCGCAGGCCGCATCATGAGAGACGCAGGCTCATATGCTTCTTTGCTGCATCAAGCAAGTCGCGTAACGTGTCCACCTAGACAGTGAGACAGTTGGCTAGTAGAATTTGACTTGGCGAGGGTACTTCGGGGATATTGGTGCTATTGGTGACGGTAAAAGTTCTTGGTGAAACTTTGAAAGAGACAATGAGTCATGGTGAAGTTGCCGTTGAGTTGACGTTTGAAGTGACCATACAGGACCGATAATTGACCGTAGGGTTAGGGTCCCAGGATAGACCTGGAATCCCGGAACTTGAATCGAGCGCGACAGTCATGTCCAACAGCACCAAACCACGTGTTGACGATGAGGACGACGTCGATGATCTCGACGGTCAGAATCCGACTATAATTTCATTATCTAAATGCGCTCATAAAGGCTAGTAGATGTCCTGGATCAGTTTATCCCATCCAATGTCCCCGCGGCTAGTTTATCCCAACACTCGACGTCATCGCCTGCCGTGAATGAACCAACCTCGTCTCAAACATCGAAACAAACATCTTCTTCTTCCAATGCTGATCTTGGAGCTGATTTTGCGAAATCACTCGCTGAAGAAATGGAGGCTCTTTGGCGCGGTATTGCACAGCAAGAAGTGGATGAGGGTTTAAAAGGTGAGACTTCGGAACAACGAGAAGAGCGGGAACGCACCCTCGCAGCGGCTTGGGAAGCTATGTTGATAGAAGAAATGGATGGCTCGATCGACCCATCGCTCACGCAGCAAGCACCTATTGCCCCAAAAACTGGAGAAAAGGACGACTTCCAATCACGCATCCGGAACACCATGAAGAAGCTCAAGGAGAGCGAGTCAGGCTTGAAGTCGTCAGATCCGAGTAGTTGTGCTACCAGCAACGATTCACTCGAGGCGCTTTTATCCCAATTCGGAGGGGAGGATGAAGAAGAGATGCAGGGTGTCCTGGAAGCTATGATGGGCCAGCTTATGGGCAAGGACGTCTTATACGAGCCCTTAAAAGAACTTTCGGACAAGGTGGGCCTGCTACTTGACATAGCGAAGCTTCTGATTTTTCCCTTCGTCATATCTGCAGTTCCCGGACTACCTCAAGGCCAATGCAACTACATTATCGTCCGATGATAAGTCACGTTATGATGCGCAGATTACCTGCATGAAACAACTCCTTGAAATTTTCGAATCGAAAGATTACACTGACGATGACGACAAGATGAAAACCAAAATCGTCGACCTCATGGGCGAGGTACGTTAGTCTTAAGCCTATTACTTGACATCGTATTGACATCACCGGTACAATCACAGCTTCAAAGACACGGGTCTCCCCCGGAGGAAATTATGGGCCCAATGCCCCCTGGATTGAGCATGGGCGCTGATGGTATGCCAAATATGCCGGATAACTGTATCATCAGTTGAAATGCATATTGGCGGAGGAAATGCATAACTTTAAACGAATACCTGAGTTTGTAGGCTACATTAATAGTGCTGATCTAGATTCTTTCGTAGAATTCATTACTTGCCCGTGATACGAAATCGGGCACCGGCTTTGTGCGCCTATTGGCGCTCGGATTGTTGCATCTGCTACATTAGCGATGCGATTCGTTCGGGACGCCGTGTACCATGTTTTTCTATTCAAGGGACGGGTTCACTGTATCGTTGCTCTTCCGAATCCACGTCCCACACTTGGAGGACCGTGTCTACAGTGCGGCCGATCAAACACATTGTCTCCATCACCAGTAAGGCATTATTTATCGCCTCGTCTACTGAGTACAAAACTTCCAAAAATATCATGCATTTTCAAAACATCATGTATCGGCAAGCTGTTCCCGTATCTCTGCCCATAACCCTCGATTGGACTCATTCATCGGTATTGATGTGGGAATGCTGCTCTGATCCTCTTTATCTATGGATATCAGGTGTAACGCTGACTAACGAGTACCTGTATAGTTTGATCAACAAGTACGATAGCATTTTAAATCCTCCTGTCAGTGCATGTCGTCGCACGTTCCCAAGGACATTGCCGACCCTATCTTCAGTATACGTATTTGGCTAACTTTTTCAGCTAGACGGAAACCGCAGCAATGCATATGACCATTTGGTGCTTCTCGCCGATGTGCCCTGGTTCGAGTCCGAGCGTGATGGTGACTATGATCCTTGTAACTTGGTGAATTCTTTTGATACCATAGATCGGGCACTTCGATCCCTCCCCAATATTAATATCGGGTCCTTGCGATCAAAAATGTTGAGCGCTGAGCGCTGATGGATGGCGTGATCGGACCAAGTCAGAAGTTTTTATCATTTAACTTTTTGTTGGCAGCCGACCGGCGACGAGGCTACAAGCTACAGCAACAAATCGCGAGGAACTCTAATTACACAGTAAACATAGGTCATGCATAAAGCGAATAAGAAGAGGAGACTATCAGGCATATCCGAACGATTCGATATGCAGTGTTACGCTCGGTCCACCACTGAGGATACTGGAGGGCCCGGAGACCGGGAAGCGAAGTGCATGACGGACAGAGCGTGCTATGGCCTGCGATCCGCAAACTAATATCGCACCCGTAAGTTGCACGTTCTTGGAGGCCGGTGTAATGAGTACTTACCGCTCACCGACATCCTTCCCGAGGTCACACCGACCTCTTCTTTGAGCAGTGCATCTATATTCGGTCTTCCAGTTTCCATCCTAACGCCGTGCAGCGACATGAATGACAGAGATAAGGAATGTTTCTTGATTATCGCGTGTACGAGACTGTCTTTCTTCTCAGTTGAACTTGAAACGCTGGAATTTTCCTCCCCGGACGAGTTAGATTGCGTCGCGGGTGAAGAAGCGGTGATAAAGATGCGAATAGAGACTGTCAAAGAAGGCGGAGCAAGCTGAACAGCCTTGATAAGTGCTTCTTCAATCCATTTGACAAACTCTGCAATGTGTGACGTTACTTCACAGAAGAAGCTGCGGATTGTTATAAATCTACGCACCAGCCCCGCGAATTGACCAAATGAACACTACGCGTGTGCAAGAGCTTTTCCCCTTGCGTACGCGTCTATAACAAGAATTGAAAATCAATGATGAAAATCAAATGAAGGCACATACTCGATAATGTTGAGCAAGACCGGGAGGGTATATGAAACACCCAACCCCCCTGAATTCGATCAGTACTGAGTGATCACGAGACAATGCACGACCGACCTGCCACCAATACAGAGGTGTCATAAGAACCGAGGTCAGGAGATGGGCCATAAGGACCATCTACAAAAACCTTGACAGTTTCCTTCTTGGCAGCTACCTCCTTTAGTTTTTTCGTAAACCCTTCTTGCACGTTGATAAAAAATACTAGCTCCTTCCAGAATGGAACGCTAGATCCCATAACCTCACTGCTGGATTGATCCTCCGCTGATACGGTTGACAGCAGACTAGGATCGAAACTCGCAATAGTAAAAGGGTGCGCTTCGAATGGCATTGTCGAAACCGCTGGGCATGATTAGATATGCTGTTTGTCCTGGGGACCAGTGGAAATGCGAGGGTCGACGTAGACGCAATCGAATGACATCTTCAGAAAGCAATTCTGTCTCTGCGTCCATTGTCCCGGTTCCTGACTTGAAGCCAAAGTAAGAGTGATTGAATACAACAAGTCGAACCGCCCGGACGAAGCGATCGAAAGCCCAGACCACAAACGACGGCCATATCCAGTACACCCTAATCGCCGCCAGTCAGAAAGGAGGCTATCTGTATCAATTTGCACTCACTGAGCACCTTGGGAACCCAAAACGTGGTAATATCCTCCCACCAGAAATATACTGCGTTCTGTCTGTCAAAAACAGTTGCAAGCGAGTAGAAGTCCTAAACTCACAGGACGCCAAGGAAGTGGATGTAGAAAAAGACCTCGTAAACCTCATTACGAACGGGACGCAGTGATACTAAGATCAGAATAGAGAAGGCAACCATGGCGGCGATACCGAGACGGAGCCAGTCCACGTCCAAAGTCTCCCGGAAGCTTTCGGTAAACTCGATTAGAAAAGCACAAGCGTGAACTGGAGGTACGTACGAGGGATAGCATAGCACTTCGCCCGCCGCATGCACCCAAAGTAGCATGAAGCATGTCCTAGCCATCATTCGATGAATATAATTGAGCTTCATATCCGGAGTCCATGAGTAAGTGTTCCGTGGAGAGTAATTAAGGGCCATACCCTATCGTAGCTGATGCCTGTGACCCCTGATGCGAAAAACTCAGCGACACGTCGGATTCGTAACTTTTCCACCTACAAGACACGATATTGTTCTTTGTGCCAAGAGCTGTGACAATGGGAAACTGACTGGCTGCCAGCATGCCTGTGCGTCTGCTCCAGTAGTCGATATCAAGCTTCTGACCCTCGGCTGAGGTTGCTGCGTGATTAGTGGTTAGTGTGGTGTGAGTAGGACCGCACACAATCCTGTGAGCTTACTGTTAATGAAGGCATAGATCAGCAAAAGGGCGATGTATGCCACGGTCACAAAAACCTCCGCCATGTTGAGGGTATAAGATTGCCCTATTTCTAGGGTCCATCGGAAGGCAACAACGCGATAGAAATTTATGATCGCAAGCGGAATCCGATGAAGAGAAAATTTGTGATGGACGCCATTGGTAACAGCCGTTTTCTTCGTCGGACCCATGGTGTCCCCGCCTGGCGAACTTGGAGTGAAGGAATAATCCCCACTGGAAGCAGCCGACTACGAAGAGAAAGGCGGCGATTGTATACCACACTTGTTCAGGGTACGCGGAATCTTCAAGTCTGATCGTGTTTATGTCAGCTTTAGAAAAGGGAGAAGACATGAAGGAAATGTGGATGCCAACAATTTGAAGGTCCAAAACAGAGCAAACTAAATAGGAGAAACATGCTGGCGGTGTGCGTGTTTGCAAATTTGAATATAATGAGGAAATCATACCTCAGTAACTGGATGTTTAATTAGCTAAGAATGCAAACTCGATGGGCTGTGGGACTTGTGCAAATTAATTAAATGGGTAACGATCAAAATCTTATCTATGTAGCAAAGATGCAATTGCAAGGCACGGATAGGCTTGAAGAGCTGAGACTCGAAACACTGCGTGACTCTAAGTCCGCAGCCTCTTCCACTAGGCTGGCGTCAGCATGCAGTGTCATGATTGGTTGGCTAACCTGGTATAGTAACTTCACTTGCCACTGGCAAGACATTTACTGGATTGATCAAGCACTCACATCATCTCGTGTGCTGTCACCATTGGATGAACGAACAAGGAGATTTTCCAGAGGGTGTGGGATTCAATCTACTCTCTGCAGCCTCTCGAGTCTATCGTAACACCGCTTAGGTTGCAAAGGCCCATCTGAACGCATGGATGTAAAGGCAACGCCTTGCGGGCAAATCATTTGCTTTGACTCATTATAACCTTGAGGTATTCCATTTTGGATTCGCGGGTTCACAAGCTATCTGGAACCCGATCCCAGCTATGAAAGCGGTCAAGGTCTGAAAGTTCCTCGAAGTGAATAATTGGACTCATCTCACTCACGCTATTCGTGACAATGGACTAGGACTTTTCGAGCTTCCACGTAGCATAGTCAACGGGCTCACTGCAAACTCACTCACTGAGACCGTCCACGAGTTTGAGACAGCCTGACATTGTCGTCTCCATCGTTGATTTTGTTGGAGCAGCCATTCATATTGTGGCATGAGGGATGTGTTATTGATAAGCGTATTGAGCGCCTCTGTTGAATGCACATCGAGGATTATGCGTTACATAATGAACCCGATCAATGCCAATACAACGGATATAGGCTATATATTGGAAATATTCCCAGACACGAACACAAGAAAAAGTTATGTTCATACGATCCAAGGTCCCTTCGATCAAGAAAGATGCTACCCGCGTCCCCGCGGTGGGTACGGGTGAGAAGATCTTTGCAGTTTAGAAAATAACGCTTAATGTTGCGGCAATCCACCATCAATCAAAGAAGATACCGCCGTCGATCGTTATCTGTCCATGGATCATATCACATTGCGTCCCTCAGTACGAGTGAGAAGATGCTTACCGTTTGGCCTGCGGAGCAACGCAATACATCCATCAGTTACGAGCTTATGAAACCCAGGCCATATACCATATACACGCCTGTGATGAAACGTGCTTCCGGGTTTACCAGAAATGAAACAAGGCTCGAAACGTCCTGGGTAGTTCCGAGGTCGCCTACTGATGACAGCCGTTTGAACTCAAGTGTCAAAAAATGTCAAAATCAGCATCTCATACACATTCGTGGAAAGGGTCACCTCGTCGTAAAGTCGTTATAATCAGTTAATCCAGCCAACCCATCAACTACGCGGGGTAAAAGTTACCATCCTATATTAAAGCACAATTCTCGAAACTTACGCATTGCCGATTGAATTGTTCCTGGCGCATATGCATTCACTGTAATTCCGTTGCGACCAAGTTCAATGGCTTACAAGTAACGTTACTAGGGTCGGGTGCTTGTGAGACTAAGTGCACTGTACCTGTGGATTGCGTTAGCCCTCGGATAGCAAACTTGGATGCGCAGTAAGCGCTGAGTGAAGCATGCCCTGAAAAGATATGTCACCATGGCATACACAAAGGAACAGCCGCATATGTGGACTTGCCTTTCTTTCCTGCAAGGGAGCTTGCGCCGATAATTCGCCCACCCTCACCTTGAGCTATCATCTGTTGCGCTGCATATTTATAGCTGTAGAAGGTGCCTTTGACGTTGACTGAAAGCACAGACTCAAAGTCATCGGATGTCGCCTTGCAGGATTTTAGTATGTTGCGGCAGTAGGTCGACTGCAACTAACTTTCTAAAAGTGGTTTTGATTTGCAAATGCCTGCGTTTGCAACAAACTATGATGAGATGAGTCTGGCAGTGAACCTGTTGTAAACAACTCACAACATTCAGCCTGCCAAACTCTTTAGCTGTACTCTCAACCAGTCCTTTGACATCCTCCTCTACGCTGACATTCTCAAGGACAATTAGCACTCTGCGCTCCAGGAATTCGGCAACGATTTCCTTCTTGACCTCCTCCGAATTCTCTTTGTTGCTTTCCAAATCGTTGATCGCGACGTCATAGCCATCTCCTGCAAGGCGTATTGCGATGCTGCGTCCGATTCCTTGCGCGGATTCAGTGATGATTGCGACACCTTTGGAGTTAGATTGTGTGGACGTCATTCTTTTACCCGGTATGTAGCGAAATGCTGTTTTCTTAGTATTCTCTCATGGGGCACGGGACCTTGTGTACTCAGGCAGCCTAGCAGGGGCCGCCACTAATGCCGACGCCTCAATCTGTCGAAAATATAAATATGGCTACCCACCTGACCATCAGTGCATAAGCATCTAGACATTGTTTCATTGCACCAGAAGGTTCAAACGTTCACGAATGTGCCTAATTCTCTTTCTGCCCATTGTTCACGTTACAATTCCACGCCAATATCGCATTTAACGCTGAGCTGTATAGCACCTATTAATGCTAAGGATTTTTTGTAAGGCTATCTTCCAATCGAAACAAAAGTGACTCTTCCAATCCGTCAGGTTTTGTTATCGCCTTATCCGCCCCGGCATCTTCATATCCGGCAAGACCGATGTGGACTCATATTGCGATGCGCTAGGAGCTTGTGACGTTTCCCAGACCAGGAAGCCTGGGCACATGATTCGGCTGAAACTTCTACCAGGGCGGGGTTGAGTTGTGCGCGAGGTCACGTCCAAAGACGTTTGGCTCTAATATTGCTAGAAACCATCGACAGGCGACAGAACCTAGCAGCAGAACGGTAATCCATGCTTTGCTGCACCCTTGCCATGATGTCCTATCCTGTAGCGGAGTACATGGCTCCGATTTGGCGTTAGTAGGTCCTCCCTTAGTCTCCGGGTCGGAACCAGACGTCATGGACCTCACGTCAGAGTTCCTCAGAGCTTGGAGAGAGAGAGCTCAATAGAGGACGTGTACAGCATGCACATGTCATAATAAAGGGGCTTGCATTGCGCCACCGACGCAGCCACCTGATTTTGAGATATTCACGTTCGTATACCGCACACCTCATGAATTACAACAACAACGAAAAGGGCTAGCACTGTGTCACCGATTGACAGTAACCCGATTTCGAAGAAAATATCCACGTTCGTACACCGTACATGCCATCATTGAGTTGTAACAGCGAAACAGGTTAGTATTGTCAAGAGCAGCTAATAGCGTCCGCCTGACCACCCGGACACGACGACAAGTGACATATATAAATCACAGACACTTTGCAGTATCTGACTCCTTTTCCCCCTTATGTCAATCCTACTTAAGACGTCGAATATCTGTCAACGCACCTCAGTCTCTTTACCCATGACTGAGGTGTGTATTGTTAGTTCTCCCTTTGCTATAATGTCGTACTCACTACATGTACTATAGGCTCGTGTCTAGGTTCGTAGTGGTACATTAATATCAGTCTCTTTACCCATGACTGAGGCTCGTGTCTAGCTCTCACCTTTAACAGGTTATGAGCCCTGCCTAAAGGATAGCGGCACTATCTTACATCTCTCGAATGTTCGTTCCCCATTGCAGTTCCTGGTTGGTTCAGACCAATATCGAAGCTGTCACCTCCCATTGACCATATATCATCTCTCATATTACCATGACATCATCTTCGGACTCTCTGCTGAAAAAAGAAAAATACCCGCATGAGAAGCTTACCCTCGACGGTTCTAACTACTCTCAATGGGCTACTGGCTTCAAAATGTGGGCCGGTGGGCTTGGGCTATGGCCATTCATCAGTGGAGATGAGAAGATGCCATCACCACCTGCCCAGCTCACTGACGCAGACCAGAACATTCTTCGGAAGGAGAAACATGACGAGTGCGTGAAGCTGTACAAGCAGCGCCGGTTACTTGCCCTCAGTGCATTGTCCACAGCCATAGACACCCAGGACTTTGTATACCTTCATGACACGGAGGATCCAAATAAAGGGTGGGTGGTGCTGACCAGGAAGTATCTGCCTCAAAAGGCAATCCTGTTCAACCAGTACCTTGATCGACTCTTCACCATTCCAAAGGCACACGACAGCAACTCCATTGCTGAGATGCTTCAGAGTCTTGTTTTGCTGAGGTCCAACCTCACAGCTCTCTCTGCCAATCCCCCGGCAGCTGCTACAACAGCGTCCACAACCAGTACCACAGCTACTCCAACTTTGGCCGAGTACAAGGTTCCTGACACTATCTTCATCCATATCCTACTCTGTGCACTTCCAGACTACTATTGTTACGAATGATGTGAGTTCACAACTGGAACTTGGATAGGGGCTCTTGCTAAGCCTGCTGAGACCAGCAAGCATTTCAATAGCAAGAGTTCACAGCAATAGCTTCGCCGACTAGACGAAGGTATTATCAATGATTAGGATGGCGTGTCTCTAATCGTGCTTCACAGCTAGCAAGACTATTGAGCGACGAGCTCAACAGAGATTTAGATGAGAAGTGGAAGCTTGCTTAAGGCTTCTAGCAGATAGGCAGGTAGAACCAAGTAGATTCAAGTTAGAGAATACAAGCAATACCCTACTGGTATATATAGGTAGGAAGTGGTTGAGGGCAGGACTGCTGGATTAGTGGTAAGGGTAAAGGGGACGAGCCAGAACGAGTCATATGTGAGATAGCACCGGTTGGGCGGTAAGGGTAAAGGGGAGAGTGAGTCAGAGATAAGTACTGGTCAGGCGGTACGGGCATAGGGTTTGTGAGTCAGGGGAATGAGACAATGGTAACAGTAAAACGTGCTCAGCGATCTAGAAGAGCTGTGCGCTTGAAGTGAAATGACGTAGTAAGTACAAAGTAAGGCAAAAGGAAAGGAAAAATGAATAGGGGTCTAACGCGACCCGATGTTCTTGTAACATTACCCCCGTTGTGGGTAATACAACAAAGGTGACTGCAAGTCAGATGACAAGCAAACACTCTCTATGTTGGGTCTTGATATGCCGTGCGATATGTTCGACCCTTAAGGGAAGCAAAGAAAGCAAGGATCCACGAAATGATGCTGATCAACCCTGATCAAAGGCGACAAAAGGGGGATGTAAGCGCGAGAAACGCGCTCAAGGCGCGCGCGGGAAAGTGAAACGCGAAAAATGCGCGAAGCGCGGGAAGGAAGGCGAAGAAATGCGCAGAGAACTGGAATGGTAGTGCAAGCAGTGCACAAGTGTAGAGAGACGATAATATGGTGAAAAGCGTGGATATAGATGGATACTGATACTGCCACTAGCTTTAGACTGATGCTAGGGCCTTAAGACGACGACGGACGCATGCATTGCATGGAACTAACTGCCAAGTACATGGTGGTAGAAAGATGTGGTAGGAAGCTCTGATGGTTCGAAGCTAAGGTGTAAAACGAACATGAAAGTATGTAAGTTCTACCTAAGCGCTCTCCCAGGGCTCGGAGCCGAATAGGGAGCGCTCTAAGTATGTAAGTGAGGTAAAGTGATGTAAAGTAAGGGTGCATAACGAAATACAAAGTGTAATAGGCTAAATATGGTCTGATAATGAAAAGGGACACACCTAGGAACTGGTTGGGCGATGGATGGATGCTCCTGGATGATGCGCGATGGAGTGCGCTTAAGTGCGAGAAACGCGCTAAGCGCGCGCGCGGGAACGCGAAACGCGAAAGTGTGAGAAAGTGTTGCACCTATGGCGCGTTTTGCAGGAGAGCTGTGCATTGTATGCGCAATGACTGGAGACATAGCAGAAGTTGTGTATGGAGTAGGGCGACAAGTGCGAGAGAAATGCGCTAAGCGCGCGCGGGAATGCTGCGTGTTGTGTGGGAATGTAGCGCGCCTATGGCGCATTTCGCGGGAAAGCTGCGCGTTATGTGTAAAACAACTAGAGACATGATAGAAGTCGAATATAGCTGATGGTGCAAGTTGTGCATTGAAGTGCGCCGTATCCTTCCTCTGCTAGCACATCATCATCCAGCTCCTCTCCTTCATCAGCTATGACTCTATCCTCGTCATCACCTTCTTCTTCGTCACTCTCGCTGTCACCATTGTCGTCCTCGATATCCTCCTGCTCCTCCTCTGCATCTGCGTCTGATACGCCGTCAGCGATTTCTTCAAGTGGATCACCCTCTTCCTCTTCTTCGGCTCCATGTCCCTCGTGTTGGAGAATGTCGTCCCAGTCCCTGGTAGCTTTGTGACCAATTCCCCCACCTCGGAACCTCATGAACATGTCTCGATCGACAAAACTGTGTATTTAGCGTAAATATGTCAGCCTCGGTAGCAAGAATAAACAAAATTAATTGCGCACATGTTCATATATTGAAAACGGCAGTCAGACTCAGGATCTTGAGGGTCTGAGCGATGTTGAAAACTGGGAATCAAGTGCACTCCACGAATGACGGAATCTGGATCTAAAAATCCATAGGCATCAGGGCTGTCCTCGTCAAAGAATTCGAGGCGTTGAAGTCTTTTCACAGCCCATCCTGCAGCTGAACCATCCCATTGGAACCATCGGACAAATAAGAAGTCCATGCGCGTTGGACATGAGTATGTTTGTGTGTTGTCCTGACAGTATTCCACATTGACATGGCAGATTCCAATCACACGAGCGTACCAGTAGGGGTGAATCTTCTCATCTTCATGGGAGAGGACCATAATATCAGCACGCGTACGGGGATTGACGGTGTCTTGTTCACGTTGGAGATCGTAGGTCGTATAGTTGACGCGCAAAATGCTATGATGGTATATCTTGTTGTCAGTGAACAGGACTAAGGTGCGGTCAGCATCAGAAAACTCGTGTTCATCTCCGTCATATGCAAGGTTGCGAAGTTGAGTGAGCAGATGGTCTTTGAGTCGTGGAATAAAGTCCTGATAAAATAATCAAATTGTGAATATAAATATCAAAAAGAAGCTTACCTCGATAGCAGCATTACACAAGTCTCCAGTATCCCTGCGTTCGATTAACCAAGAAGTGATGTCATCATTCATCTGAGCATATTTGGAAATGAAGTAATGAGCCAAGGGAGACATCCGTGCACGCTGTGGTCTTGGATTGCGCTTTGCTGCAAGCGCAGCAATCACCTTCTCAATGAGCCGTTCTTGAGCTTCTTGAGAGGTGATGCTGAGGAGCATCTGATCTTTCTTCTTGCCTGTGCGGGGGGTACCGGCACTTGGATCGACGATGTTCGAGTTCTCCCTATAGAATATTAGATATAGTATGCATAACATGACAAAAAGATCACTTACCGGTTGTGTTGAGTAGCTATCTGAAGTACCAACTCGCCGAATAGTATTTGGGTAGTCAGCGAGCGCATGGTATTTGTAGGTGAAAAGATTTAAGGTTTTCACCTTTGGGTTTGGGTTAGACTTGCCTTTCTGCAATGTGTTTGCAGATGCCGCTTGTTTTGATGCTAATGCAGCCTCACGGCGTCCGCGTGCAGCATACTCATTTGGAAGTTCGGTTGTGTGGTAGTATGCGCAAATAGTGCGTTGAAACTTGCGAACTGATTGTCTGAGAATGACAGTAATCGAGTCAAAAAATGCAAGGGTGTTGTCAGTATGTAGGGTTAGATATGAACATAAGACTTACTATTGAGACACGTACTTTTCAGGGTAGTCAGCTGAGTAAGTGAAGAAGCGGGGGAAAACACGTCGAGTGATCCCATCACCGCATCGAATTACAATACCATTTTTGTAGGCGTCCATAAATTCTTCATCCAGTAGAAGCGCCCATATGGCCTGCATGAGTTCGCACTTACAGTGAGTATATATGTCACTGGATGACGCCTCGCCAAAAAGACGGCCATAATGGTCTTGGAAGTCATCAGGAAGCTTAATAGATGATAATTAGTACAATCAACTTGATAGATCGCGAACAGGACTTACATTTGGAATATATGCCACATGATGACAAGCAGACGCTGTCGGCTTACCTCGTGTGTACTTCAATTGATTTCCAAAACAGAGATAAAAGGGCCAGAGAGATGCATCTCCGAAACTGGCAAGATGAGTACTGTCAGACCACATCATCAGTGAGGCCACGACTCGCTCGAGATTATCGCCTGGATCTCGGGGAAGCGCGTTGATCTCCTCGTAGGCTTCCAGAAAAGAAGGTGAGGAATATGCCTCACTATATACATTCATGGTGTGACCTTCGGAGATCTCCCATCGCTGACGGAAAGGCATTAAGTGAAAGGTTGACATGATACTGTCCTCAAAGACAGATCTAACAACGTCAGTGAGGGAGCAGTGATGAACGCCCATAATCTCCATTTCTGGAGCAGCTTCTTCTGATGCAAATTTCACCTTTTCTTTGGGTAGGCGTATTTTTACCGAAGAGCAGCGCCAGCCATTTTCCATGCGGAACAGATTAGATCTGTCCTTGAGATACTCCTTCAAGAGCCTCTTCTCATGCACGTCATCAAAAACTCTCATGTCTTCCCTCTTGTATTCATCATCATCGAGAAACACCCTTGTGAGTCGTTTCATTTCAACGCTTGATTTGGAGTTGGCTCCGGAATACTGCCAGCACATCAGAAGACCTGCAGTCGGGCTACTAAACGGCGAGAATATATCTTCAGGTCGGATGTCTTGGGAGGGAAGTCCAGGAATGATCTGGGATCTCTCCAGATGGGGGTTGCGCTGTGTTTCAAACGTCAGGGCATCAGTGATTGCATCAAGGCCTTCGTTTGCGATGGGTATGAGAGTGGGTCGTTGCGCATAGACGCGAAAAAGACCCAGTGCATCCAGTGCAGTCTGGTAGGGTACAAGCATGGGCTGGTGGTTGGGGAGATTGTCGATGACTCGGTGTGGGTATCACAACCTGGCAGGCACATATAAGAAAAGTGCTCAGCCAGTATAAGTGAGTCTCAGCTCTGCCTAGCTGCTATACTCGCAGAATGCAAGAATGTTCGACCCTAAAGGGGAAGCAAGGAAAGCAAGGATCCACGGAATGATGCTGAACAACCCTGGTGAATGGCGGTGAAATGCACTGAAGGCGCACGCGGGAAAGCGAAGTGCGAAGGTGCGCGGAGCGTGGGAAGGTAGTGCAAGCGGTGCACAAGTGTAGAAGATGGATACTGAGACTGATAAGAGGAAAAGCGCAGATCTAGATGGATACTGACAGTGCCACTAGCTATAGACTGATGCTAGGGCCTCAAGATGATGAAGGACACATGCATTGCATGGAACTAACTGATGATAGATACTGAGTGGTAGTAAGATGGTGGTATGAAGCTAAGGTGGAATAGTTTGGGGTGTAAAACGAACATGAGAGTATGTAAGTTCTACCTAAGCGCTCTCCCAGGGCTCGGAGCCGAATAGGGAGCGCTCTAAGTATGTAAGTGAGGTAAAGTGATGTAAAGTAAGGGTCCATAACGAAATGGGAAGTGTAATATGCTAAATATGGTCAGATAATGAAAGGGACATACCGAGGGACTGGTCAGACGATGGATGGATGCTCCTGGATGATGTGCGACGCAGTGCGCTTAAGCGCAAGAAAGCGCGCACGCGGGAATGCTGCGCATTGTGCGGGAAAGTATCGCGCCTATGGCGCATTTCGCGTGAAAGTGGTGCGCTCTATAGGGAAGTCATAGTGGATGATGGTGCGAGTTGTGCCATGAAGGCCAGATGTCAGAATTCGTAAAATGAGCCCATATGTGCCTGCAGGAACGCGAGTCTCTACATCGGTTAGGAGGGCTATTTGGAGTGGGAGGTATATGCGGGAGATTGGTAGGTCCAGCTGGCAGAAAATCCGCATAGCGAGCAGGCAAGTGGATTCGTCGGCCAGAACGGGCAGACGTGATAGCAGGCGCATCAGGGACAGGTGGGATTGGGAGCTCCGGTTCAGGAATGATGGTGTTAGAAGGTCCTGCAATGTTTTCATCCTTGTTGTAATATTAGACCGGCCAGGCATAAATATCAAAAGACATACCTCATGTGCATCATGATCAAGCCATTGATTGTTGTCGACAACATCGACATCCATCTGGTCAGTGGGACTCAGAGATGACCTACGAGCATTACGGCTTGTGTCTCTATGGCCTTGTGGTGAGGCAGACTCGTCATGAGCACGTTTCCTCTTATTTTTCCGCCGCATTTGCTTCTCCAGGCAGCGCTGCTGTTTATAGACATCAGCGTCAAGGCTTTTGCTGGCGTCACACCGAGCCTCGTGGTTACTGAGGCTTTTCTGGGTCGGGAAAGCCTTTGAACAGCCAAGGCAGGTAAGGTCGTCCATGGGATGCAGACTCAAGCATAGTAGAAAGTAGAAAGAAAACTTGAGGATTTATATTGCAGCATATCGACAACATGTATCATAGTAAATTGAAAGATTTAGTGGAGACAGGTAGATCTGCAATGAACGCACCTTCCAGGCAAATGCTGCGACTCTTCGGATTAATTAGTACAACTCCTTGCCTACAACGGTATCAATGCGTACCTGTACCCAACTTGAATCCACAGGTAAATGATCCCCAGATGGTATGGGTCACCTCTATCTTGGTGTGGTGCTTGAGTGACGTAGATGTATCATAGTGAGCATTGCCGCTAGAATGAGAATAAGAGGAGGTGCAAGGTCACCAAATGGTACAGGTCACCTGCAGGTGAGGCCTATATATCAATACAACATCTGAGAAACAAATGAGATAGTAGTTAGGACTTCCGTACCTTTGATGCAGCACTTGAGCGTATCATAGTGAGCATAGCCCTGAACTCCAGCATGCTTTTGATGCTGCTAGCCTGAGAATGACAATAACAATGAGGTAAAGAAAGATGGGTCTGACAGCGTGAAGATAGGTTTTGTACATCTGAATTGCACTGGTCAAAGCGCACCGCATTTACTGGTCATAGTGCACATTGAGAGAACTTGGTCGCCAAGATGAGAGAACTTGCCAAATAGAAACATACATTCCTATCTGAGATTGAAATCCCCATTCAGGGCGTGCCTTGAACTCGAAACTCTATCTCAAGTCCTACTACTACCATTACATTCCAACTATGCCGCACAAACGTCCCAGATCCCCCTATTCGTCGGAAAGTGATGTTAGTAGTGACTCGTCAATTTCGTCCATGGAGCGAACATATGTTCGCCCTAAGAAGTCCAAAAAATGTGGATGCTCAAGGAGATCTGCGACAGCAGGTCCTGATAAAGGTGATCGAAAAGAAAAGTAAGTTCAAATTCCTTACACCAAGATACTATAGACCACTGATGTTGACCAGGAAAGCCAAGACATCTAAGGAGAACGATGACTCGGATCCCAACCAAGTTGCAGAAGAGTTCCTTGCTGCAGCGCGTGCTATAGCACGTTGTGTCGATCTGTTTTGCAACGTGGAGAAACTCTTAAGGGTGGGTTTCCTCCTGCAGCAAGAACAGGCTGCAGAGAACGGAGAACTTGAAGAGCCTGAGGCCGAGCGTGAGTCCCGCAGAAAAAGGCTTGCTACTCTGTAAGTCCCGCTTTTGTTTCTTTTTCATCCTACACTCAGATCTACTGTTCTTTTTAGTTCAACCAACATCCTCGATCGGTACAAGTGCAACTATCAGCAGTTACTTCATTTGGCTCCGGGACTCCGACCACTTATTGCTGATCACCCCAAGTCTAAGCAGCTCACTCAGATTGCACGGAAGGTGAGTATATGCTACTTAGGTGCGCATATATGCACATATACTGTGTACTGATATACTATTTAGATGAACGCTGTTATCAGCGGAACACGTTCGGACGACGCCACTCGCCTAAAGGTTGAAATCGGTCACTATGCGGCTCCTGAACCCTTAGTGGAAGCCCTGAAACCGACTATCTACAATGGTGGCTCACTGTCCAGGGCGCATATGGGCATCAACCACCCGGTGCTAGCTTCATTCCTCTGTCCGATATCGGGGCTTGAAGATTTCAAGAAGGATCCTGCACAGTAAGTACTCTGTTAGTTCTATATTCAATAATGTTGTGCGTCTTAGGGCTCGCAAGTGGATGGAAATTGGACGGATTTGCATGACTTCGATCAACTTTCCGGTGTTTCTGTGGGCCGGAAAGCCACCTGCCAGTAACTACAACGAGGACGCCATGCATGAGGGCCTATTCCAGGGGTATTTCGTCGAGCGCGTGAGTGTTTAGTTGACTATATCTATTGTTATCTCACTAACGAATCTCTAGATAATGTGTCATATTTTTACCGGACCATCTACTGCATTAGGTGATGACTCGCGTGCTACACGTTTGTGCAATGCATCCCTGCACGACATGACTACTGTCGAAGCAGAGCATATAGCATATGCTTGCGTTCAGGTGAGTTTTATTTTTATTCATGTACTTAATACATCTGACTCATACTACTACTAGGCACGCTTCGCCATCAGCAACAAAAACAAATGGGCCGAAGCCGACGGCGAATTCCAACAATCGAGCATTTTACTACAATATCATCGACTTCATTCGCGAGTGCGAGGATAGAGATTGGGCGGAGGGGCTTCTCAAATGGTGGAACAGGTATGATTTTATTTTCTTTCATAATACTTAATTGATTACTTTGGCCTTAAGGGCATTATTCAAGAATGAAAACGGACGCGAAGGTGGAACAACCATAACCGACGACAACGGACCAGGGAACGCGGCTGGCTCTTCCTCGGCTTCTGGGTCAATCAACGGCCTAGCCAAGATGCGAGCACAGATGGCTGCTCGTGTCAGTGCTGCCAAAGGACCTGCAGGACCCGGACCCACTCCGACTCACCCAACACCGCCTCAAAGTTCTATAACCCCAGAACCAGAACTTCCCCCGCCACCAATCGTTCGATCTCCTGTCATCCCGGATCCCGAACTTCGCCCACCGCCAATCGTTCGATCTCCAAGGCCCAGGCCCCTGCAGAATGCCCCCAGCCCGTCAAAGTCACTTGCACCGAGCGAGTTGACACCAGACGAGGTTCTCTCAGAACACGGCGACGACTTGCTTGACCCGGTGGACGTCAGTACTACCATCAAACCAAGGAAGAAGAAAGCGCCGAAGACCAAGCGGGCTACTGGTAAAACTGCTAAGCGTCGCATGACCGTGACAGAGGAATCCGACGACGACTCGGAGGACGAGGAACTGCCAGTGGCCAAGTCAACCAAGAGTCGCGGTAAACATGTGGCCCGCAGGAAATAGATGGTATCGGTATGTTCATTTTGCCTTATACTCACTATGTCGTCACTCGGTTTTCTTTGATCGGTATTAGTTCATCGCTCGTTAGGACTCCATCGCTTTGTGGACTTGGCAGCCACTCCTCGATTCGCCGCAATTCAAATTGGACTCGGACTTTACCTCGTTGCACTGTTTTTTCTCGCTCTGGGACTCTCACTGTCGTGCTCTCGTCGTTACCTCTGTCACCTCAGGACATTGCTTTCCATACTGTCTCAGGATTCTCTCGTTCAGTCATGTCCTGCTAGTGCGCCAAGTTCCTTACATTGCAGTGCTTTACAATACTTTGTACTCTCATCATGACAATCAATATCTGGCTTTAACTGAATATCTCTGTGTGATTTGCAATGTCTTGAATAACTTAATTGAGATAGTAATATATTTGCCAAGAACACGTCGTACACGCTCCGTCCATTGGAAATTTCAGGTTCCAAGTCTGCTCAGACATACTAGACCCTAACCCTGACATTGTTGACAGCGTTGACACCGCAGATATACCTATGTATGGTAATGTCTGGGCTGAGCAATTTTTGTGATGTAGGACGAAAAAATAATGAAAGAATCACGTGACTTTCGGATAATCCGAGTCCCCAGGATTACCCAGAGCGCTGGTCATTCGAAATGAAATGAACACCACCAGCACATCGATAACCTTGCAACTGCTTGATCCAGCAAAAGCCTGCAACACACACACCCATTTGCTGCAACTTCAGCCTAGGTAGGTTCATCATCTGGACATACAATACAGTAACTTTAGATATCAAATCTGACCTAGATACCCAGCTGGTCATTCGAAATAAAATGGCCGCCAGCAGAACATCGATAACCTTGCGACTGCTTGATCCAGCGATAGCCTGCAACACACACACCCATTTCCCGCAACTTCTGCTGCACTCGAGCCTCCTCGCGCCTCTTCCTCTCTGCCTCTTGCTGCTTCTTCTTCAGCTCGGCCAAGGCTTTCTCTCGAGCGGCTTTAGCCTCTAGCTCTCGGATGCGAGCGGCCTCTCGTTGGCGCATGAGCTGTTCATTGGCGTTATCATTCGCTAGTTTCTGCGCGAGTTTCTGTGCAGCAGCTTCTGCAGCTCGCAGCTTTTTCAGGGCTTTCAGCTGTGCAATATTACGCTTTCGCAACTCCTCAGCGGCATCCTTTTCAGCTGCTTCTCCAGCTGCTTTATCCGCCTGCAGCCTCGTCCAAGTGGCATCATCTACACCGGGATCCCGTTGCACCTGGCCATTTGTCTGGGCAAGCGATAAACTTTGTTTGAGTAATCTCTTCGCTGTCTTATGTAGTGTACGACACTAACCTGAGATGAAACTGTGGTGTCTTGCGGAGGTGTCCCACCGAAGGGAGGTTTGGGTTGCTGCTGTGTTCGTTTACGTTTACGAGATGGCTTGGAAGCGGGGGGCTTTGGAGGAGCTGAAGTAGACACATTCTGAGAGGTTGAAGGAGGAGGAGGAGCGATGTTTCTTGACATAGCCATCTGTGGGACACCGGGGGTTGATGACACCGTCTTGTTTGGCAAGTTGAGACGTTCTCGCTGCTCAGAAAGTTGACATCTCATGATATTCAATGCGTCTTCTGATGTAACGACCAGTGAACTCCCTGGAGCTTTCCCAGCCGAGATGAATGCAGGGCGAGCCAACCGTTTCGCAATAGATTTTACGTCACGTGCATTGCCCCAGTTTTCGAGGCTCGCCATATCAGCGATGATGCTTAACATCTCCTCATATAGTGATGACGATGGATCCGATAGCCCTTGAACGACAACCTTTGACCCGCGCAGATCCTTGTCAAGCAGCTCCAGGCATCGGATTGACGACATATTAGGCAGTATGAAGTCCTCGGAAAACCGACTGGAAAGCCCAGGGTTCGCGCCCAAAAGCTGGTTCATCTCCTTCTCATACCCTGCCAGGATGATGACCATCTTACCCATGAACTTCTCGTTGGTCATCAGCCCTACGACTTCGTCGATGGCTTCCTGCGCAAAATGACCTTGGCTGAGTCGATAAGCTTCATCCACGAAGAGGACTTTGCCGATGGCCTTCTCGAAAAGTTTCTTCGTCTTGGGACCTGTTTGGCCAACGTACTCGCCAACGAGATCCGAAGCGGAACACTCGACCAGTTCTGTGGATGCGAGGAAGCCCATGTCATAATAGACTTGACCAAATTTTCTTGCGATGGTCGTCTTTCCGGTTCCTGAAGAGAAGGCATCAACGTGTGAACAACTTCAGACATGATTGGATTACCAGGTGGTCCCTTGAAGATGAAACTGGTAGGTATTTGCTTGCGCATGTCCAGTCCCGATGCTTTCATCCCTTGCGCCATGCTCTGGTAGTCTCCCAGCCTCTGAATAACAGCTTCGCATCCAACCATATCTTCGAACAACTGAGCCAAGTTTGCTACAGCGTGCTGATCACGGTCCCAATTAGTATCGAAGTCTTCTGGTTCGAAGACGATGTCCTGAGACAGATGGGAAGGTTGCGATGCTTGCCGCTTTAAATATCGATCTTTTGCAAAAGTCAGCATGTTTTCCACTTCTCCTCCATTCCCAAAGTTCGGACGGTTCTTTCTTCGGCTCAACAGACCAAGCGCTACTTGCTTGGCTTTCTCTGTTGCGCTGAGGTCTTGATCGTGTAGCTTGCGTTCAAAGATTTCCTGTAGTTGAGGCTCGTTGAAGTCTTCAAACATGAACGCGTCTTCAATCGCAAAGCGACGAGCAAAGCCGGGATTAACATCCTGATTGACACGTCAGAGCCAGGTCCTGATCATGAGGTCGTACACCTGCCTTGAACATGTCTTCCATTTGCTCCTTGTATCCTAATAACAAGACACAACGATCATCCCCTGGTACGTTCTGTATCTCCGCAACCATGGTGTCAATGACGCCGGTCTTATAGGGGTCCTGGGCACCACCATTCTTACTATGCAGCATGTATGCCTAGCGAGACAATAAGAACCACAAGGTGAAAGCGAACATATATACCTACCTCGTCAATGACCAGGACCTTTCCGACAGTACTCTCCAAGATGGCCTTAGTGTTCTGTTCAGACTGCCCGAGATGTTGCCCGACAAAATCTGAAGGGTTCTTCACCACAACTAAAGACGGCAATTAGGTAATGACCCTCAAACATTCTTCAGCAGAACACCGAACCTTCCCCGTTACTGAGAAGCCCTAGGTCTGCCAGTGCTTGACCATAGAGTTTGGCGACAGTGGTCTTGCCAGTGCCTGGGGAGCCCAGGAAAACTCGGTTAAGGGCCATATTGAGAGGCTGCTTTTCTGTCAACTCGCGATGATAGTTCGTCCTAATGAGGTTGAAGAGGTTGCTGACAGATTGCTTCACGGATTCAAGACCAGTGAGCTTTTGCAACTTTATCCATGAAGGGCACTGCGGAAGAACGGAATCCGGATTGGGACCAATAAGATCTTCCTTAACGAGCAAGAAATCATCTGGTGATGATCCGTTCTTGCGTTCTTTTCCTACCCTCGCAGCCTGTCGCTGACGTATCTGTGCAAACATATTTTGCAGTGCACGGGCATTTCCAAACCCTTCGCGGCCGCGGCCACGACCCAAGCGTCGGACTGCGATTCGACTATAAAGTCCCCGGATGCCCTCTTCAACCTTCATCTGGCCTCTAAACTGTTTTCTCCACCAGATCAGCGAACATGTCAAGGAGCTCTTCGTCGGTGTAGTCCTCGAAGGTGAATCTATGCGGGACACGACTCGGAAGACCTTGATTATGATTGAAGAATTTCTCCATCTGACGGCTGTACCCAGCAAGGATGAAAACTAGGCCTCCGACACGATTCTCCATCTCTGCTAGCAGGAAGTCGAGAACGTCAGTACCGGACCCACCCTGTGCACTAACTAGCTGATAGGCCTCGTCGATGAATATGGCACCACCACCAACTTTCATAACGTCTTCGATGAGCTTCTTTGCGCCACCGACGCCATCATGTGCCAGGCTCGCTCCTGTGGTTTCCTTAAATGTGCTTCCTGGAAGTATTTGTATCGATTCGAGAAACTGGGCATATAGCCTTGCGACCGTTGTCTTCCCTGCAGAAAAGTTTAAATGAGCGCGAAAGGATTACACAAAGAAGGGCTCCTACCTGTTCCTGGATTTCCCAAGAGTGCAAGGTTCAGACGCTCTTTGTTCGCAGGTATTCCCTGCCGTTTCATCAAGTCCAGCTTCTCTTTGGTTTGTAGAACTTGCGACTTCACTCCTTCCAGTCCAGTCATCGCCATAATACTATCAATCGCATCGTTTTGCTCGCCTAAGAGTTTCTTCTGTGACTCCCAGTCGTCGCGAGCAGCAGAGCTTTTTTGGCTACCGGGAGGTTGCGAAAGAGCAGTCTGAGTAGACAAAGGATTGGAGGATTGCTGTGAGGGAGAAGTTGTCGGCTTGGATGGGTTTGCACTACCGTCTTTCGAGGAACCTGCTAATTTCTGCGCACGAACTTTTGCATCTTCAATCTCCCGTTCCTTCTGCTTGAACATAGCCTCTCTCTGCTTCGCGGTATTGGTATCTGCAATAACTTCGACCTCGGTTTTAAGTCTTGCGTCCATTTCAGCCATTTGGGTATCAAAAGCAGCTTGCCCAGCATCACGTTTTTGCTGGAGCTCTGCGTCGTGCAGTAATTGCTTTTCAGTGCGATCTGCATCCTTCTCGCATGGAGTGCATTTTGTGCGAGGCCCTTGATGACACTTCCATGAAACTTTGTGGACGCCTGCCGTACATTTCCCAAATAACACTTGTTGGCAAAGTATTTTGGAGTGATCAGAAAGTTGGTGGCACTTTGAGGGACAAGGGTGCACGTTGCAACTGAGCATGGCACCACTAAAGGAGCAATGTCAGCGAGATGCACCGAACATTGTTGAAAGGACACTCACCAAGGCTCCAAACAACCACCATCTGGACATCGATCATCGAAATCATTAGCATCTCGCAGAATGGCCTTCCGTGCAGGATGGCGCTCGCATTTGACGGGGAACCCTTCATAGATGTGTGCTGCCTGTCTGAGAAGACTGAATAGACGACTCCAAAGGGTGGATTTGCTCTCGAACGTGTCCATATTGCCGATGAGAATAAGACCATCACGGGCCCGAGACAAGAGGACGTTCAAACGTTCAGGGGACTTCATGAAGCCGATAGCGCCATCAGGATTCGATCGTGTCAAGCTAGTAACCACGATATCACTTTCCTCTCCCTGGTAATTGTCTGCTCCAGTCAGTTGAACTTCAGGCATTTGTTGTGGTGGAGTTCATACCTATGGTAGCAAGTCTTATCTTCCTTTTGGATGCCTTTGCAGCGTCGGGAGAGAGTAGTCCCGCACGGACCAAGTCATAAGAGTCGAGGTCGTTCAACACCGGGTCATTGTCTGCCTTGAGGTATTCACGAAGTTTAGAGAGCTGCCCAAGATAGGGCGTTAGGACGACGATATTATCTGTCCCATAACCTTGTTGAGCGAGATACCGGACAATCTTCAGAACCATGCTGGCTTCATAAGAGTTTTGTTTTGAAGTTGTAGAACCAAGATCGCTGCGATCACTGACTCTGCCCTCGTTGTCTTCAGGGTGAGCATGGTTGACGAAAATGATATTATCTTGGATCCCACGAATATCGTCTCTGCCACGGGTGCTGGCGGCATCAGTGAGTTCGGGGTATGTGAGTTCGCGAACAAGGGCGGAGATTTCAGGCCGCATACGATGTTGCTCGGTGAGAGTAGCATGAGGGAATCCTTTTAGAACAAGGCGCTCGAAGAGCGACCTGTTCAAGTCATATCCTCGGTCACTCTCGACCTGGAGGGCATAGCTATTGACTTTCGGTCTCAATTGCCTAAATTTATAACTCAGAATAAGGCGCTGAAGGCAGTGATTGAAACCATACTTGTGGTCTCCAATAAGGATCAGTTGATTTGTGTTTGCGCCAAAAGCAGTCAGGATATGGCTCTCCAAAATCTCTCCAGCCTCCTCCACAAGGACGACATCGGGAGCAGCAGTTCGGAGGTCTTCAGTGAATTTCGCGGCACCTGTCGTTGTACATGCAATGATCCTTTTCGCCTGGAGCGTTGCGCCCAACGACTCGCCAAACTTCCGGGCGAGATCTATTTGACAACTGTTGTAGTCTCGGCCAACAGAGCCAACATCCTCTACCATCTGCTTCTGAAGGTCGTTTGTCCATTTCGCCAACATATTCTTACGGACAGGTAAGGGAGTAGTCCAAATGCGACTCGATTCTTCCGTCCGCAGATGAGCCGCATGTTTGAAGATGCCCGCATCACAGCCTCTTTCCCATAGCGCGATGAGATACGTGGGGTCGACCTCCCGACCTCCGCGGCCTACAGTGGCCATGCCGTCATCTGACCTGGGAATGCGAAAAGCTTCAAAATAAGACTCATCCTCGAACTCGATATGCGTCAAGATATCCTCATAACGAATCCTATTTGCCATGAACTGTGCAATGGAGTTGTCAAGGCGACTGCATAGAAATTTAAGTCTGGTCCTGAATTCATCGATCATGGTCCAATCCGCCTTAGTCCGCGGGGGCTGGGACGTTCTCTGGCCAGGGCTGAAGAGGTTGAGATGCGCCAGCTGCGGTTTAGCTCTACCTCCGAGTCGAACCATATGGTCATCAGGAATGCCGATTTTGATAAGATCGTCTAAAAACTGGTCCAGGGCATGGTTGGTGTAACAAACAACAAGAATCGTCTGATCGGTGAAGTCGTGTAGAGCTTTTGCTAAGAGGGCGCCCACAAATGACTTTCCGGTCCCTGACCCGCTACATAAGCATTACTTGGCATCCATATCGTCAAAGAACATACCTGGAGGACCCTGTATCAAAGACACCCTCTGAGTCAGGCCAGAAAGAATCGACAAAGCTTGCGAGCTATCTAGTTGTATAGGGTTGGGGGTCTGAAGCAAGTGTTGCAAGTTTCCAGAACGGTCAGCTTCAATGGCCGTGATCATGTCATCAGCCATCTGCGGGGGGTTCTGCAGAGTAACACCACGCTTCCAGAACAGCAGTTCATCCGATACTGGGATGTGCTGCGTCTTCTGCAATGCCTTGAGCACCGGCTCAAAAGCAAAGAGAGCAGTGTCAATCTGGAGGAGCTTTGCGTTTTTGGCATTGCGGAGCCGGAGGATGGTTCTGCTTGTACTCGCCCGCCCGTCTAGTTGAATGACAATAATAGGAGGGCTGCGGATCAAGAAATCTTCCACCCGGTTCACAGTGCCAAAGCCGACCACTTCGTTATCAACCACCACGCAGACGAGTGATTGGTGACGAAGGATCTTGGAGCCAGCGTAATCATCTGTGAGGTACGCTTTCCTGTCCTTCGGGGGGATGCGCTTCAGAGATGGCAGCTCATCGGCACACTCCAATGTTATTCCCCACAGCATCTTCCGATCATCAGTGCCATGATAAACACCTTTGAGTATAACACCGTCTATCAGGTTAGCGCGGCGGCGCTTGACGTTCTTTCCTTCCAGCGCTTGAAGTTCTTCTCTCATCTCTGCTATCATGTCTTCACGAAGTAGGCGAAATGTGTTATCAAGATAATCCGCGATACGAGTGCTTTCTCCAAATTCATCTTCTAACTCCGAGCTACGGCGCAGGAATGGTAGCTGTCCGGATCTAATTTCGTCGGCTGTGGGAAGGATAGCAATTTCGCGAAAATTGACAAAATCATTGTCATGTCGTCCACCTGGGCCATTGGCAGCCGGGGGAGGGGCTGAGGAGCCATAGGTCGAAAGGATATGCTTAATCTTCTCTCCAATAAGGCGGACTTCCAAGTTTTCAGAGCCTGTAAGTTTTGGGAGCACATTTGGCCTGCCAGCTAGTTCGAGATAGGGTGTTGTGTCGTGGTTGGAGAGGTTCAATAGTCGAAGGAGGAGGCTGGCGAAGGCACGTTGAGCTTTTTCAAGTAGCTCTCCACGAGCAAAAGCGTGGCTAAACGCCGACCAGAAGAAATCTGGTTCGACTATCTGGATAAACAGGTGATCTAGCACATTGCTGCTGATGCTTGTGGCCTGGAGGAGATATACAAGAACGTCAGCACCAATGCCATTCATAAACTCTGCCGACAAGTCCAGTCGCATCGCCTCCTGCACAATAGAGGGTCCTTTTGATTCTCCCACTATCCTGCTTACGCATACCGCAACATCTGGTTGGGAACATATGGAATCGAGAAACAAGTGACAGTTTCGTGGCTCGATAGAGACTTTGCCCTTGAGAACATCATAGAACCGTTTGTTCAGCAAGGCCGCTCGTCGATCAGACATTTTCTGGGTGTTCTTTGGTGGCGGCAGTGGTGCGGAGAAAAGGACACGTTCGAGATTGGGTGATGATAGAATTTAGAAAGGCCTGATAGTTTGAACTTTGAGGGTTAGGCACGTGTGATCAAAGAACAACAAACAGGATCGGCGCAAGCACCAGTTAGTATATGAAGCGAATCTTTGGGATAACATACCAGACATGTGACGCGAAAGAGCGCTCAAGAAGGTCACATGTGGAGCCTGAGTCTGAGACTCTGAGCCCATCGCCGCCCAAGAAGCACTAGCAATACTGCAGGGACCCTGGAACTTCATCAATACTTTATCAATCATCCGCGAGAGTATCATATGGGTATTTTTTGTGCCTGGTTGACGCCCTGGCCAAGGATTACGGTGTACTCCAAGGTTAGCGCTCATTGCTCAACAAAGGTTGGTTGTATGTTTCAAGGTTGAACGTTGAACGTTGGATGGTGTTTCGAAGTCTCACAGGTTTCAAAAGCTCAAGCGCTCACCGCTCGGCGCTGGTTACATTCTGGGTTGTTCCGGGTAAAGTTTGTCCTAATTTATTCCCGTCCGCTGTTAACTGTAAAAAGATTACGAACATGGCCAAGGCTTTCGAAAGGAGAGGCATGAATGCATGACGGCGGGATAGGGTAACCACTGCTGGCAGCGGATGATGTAAGACAGCGGGCGCACTGGCCGGAAACTCCAGACGCCTGCACGCGGAGTTTGCATCAAGTCCCGATGAGTTTCTTTCAATTACGTTACTGGGATGGCCCTTCAACACAATACCTGTATTCAAGTCCCACAGACAAAGTGTCCTGTCGTTCGAGCTGGTGATCATCCGTCGTTTATCAAGGAAAACTGCAACCACTGTAATGCACCCTATCGTTATATCCACCGTCCTCCATGATATACCCTCCTAGCGCCTCAGTGCGTGCATGTGTCTGACTCTCGTCTTCAAAGCTTCTAGAATATATTTCATTGCATCCAATCGAGCAGTCGGTGCTTCCCAGCATTCGAACCTGACTATCTATCTTGTATGAGTGCATATCGTTGTTTCTCGTATCGAGCAGCTACTCCAGCACTCACCATGTCACTCCTTCGAATGCATGCATATAGCCTGCTGCGATATCACCCCTTCATCCCATCGACTCCCCAAGACCTACTTGTGCGCCAGATTCAGCCGAAGTTCTCTATTCTGGCGTCTCAAACTCGTCACCACTTCTGCGACGGAGGAGCGTTTTGCTTCCAACGCTCTGCTCGTGATTCATCTCTACCTTCAGCCTCGCCCACTCCCGGCCCAACTGGTTTTAATCATGGTCGCTAACCTCGCCGAGTCCTCGCCGTATATCCTACCCCAACATCTAGTTCTATTCCTGAGCTCACGTCCGTGAAGCTCGACGTCCTGGCGGAATTAATCGCCAAGGTCAGAAGCATTGCCGGCATTGTTCCCTTCTCCACTCTGACGAGAACCTCCTGGTGTGCGTCTTGGGCTCCTGCGAGAAGATGGCCAACTTCTCCGTCATCTGCGCCGATAAGATTGGTACACTCACGTTTCGCTGGTTTGGCAACTGTTCACTCAGCCTGAGGATTCATAGGAGGACTCGCTCGACTATAGTAGTGGATGCATTGGAGGACTGGTGGGTAGTTTGTACTATAGCATTTCTAGTCCATTCCCTTCAAAACCTCTAAAAATGACGTTCGAGTCTGAGTCAATCGCGCATAGTCTCACAACGCTAATTTATTCAAGACGTGAATTCGGGGTGAGGGGGCGGAAAAGTCAAATGTGAAACGTCCTAATCTATGCCCATCAACGTTATAATCAAACAGGGTGTGCATGTGCTGTAACTGAAAAACACACACATCTAAAGAAAAGGCTATTGAACGCGGAATCGATGCAGAACTAGCGCAGCTGGGAGTCGTGAATAAAATGCATGCCACCCGCACAACGGTAACCTGATGGCTGTTTGATCCATGGGAAGCCTTGCATGCAGACGCCGAGATTTCTCAACTTCTGCTGTACCCTCTCTTCTTCGCGTTTCTTCTTCTCTTCCTCCCGATGCATCTGAGCGAGCGCAGCAGCAATTCTATCTCTTTCTGCCTTTGCCTGCGCCTCTCGAATCCGAGCTGCCTCTTGTTGGCGCCTAAGTTCTTCCTGGTCTCGTGCCTTCGCCTGAGCAAGGGCCCGAGCTTCAGCCTCCGCAGCTTGTTGTCTTTGGGCGGCTCTCTTCAATTCAGCATCGCGCCTCTTCATCTCCTCAATCGCTTTCCTTTTTTCCTCCTGCACCGCTGCCTTATCTGCCTCCAACTGCCTCCAGACAGCATCACTAACTCCCGGGTCACGCTGAGCATCATTGGTAGACTGGGGCTGCGGGGTGCCTTGAACTGGTAACTGCATATTTTTCCCTCGCTGGTTTGGAGTCGACGGGTTACTGCCTCTCGAAAGAAAAGGAGGAGCAGTTTGGGAACCTGAAATGGAGAAAGGAGGCAGACTGTTTGAGCTGGATGGTGCAGGTGATGCCTGTTGAGAACCTCTGGGCTGCTTTGGGCGACGAGTCGTTGGTGGAGTGAATTTTGCAGTGGACGAGGGAGTGGGTGACGGGGACGGCGGAGCTTTCGGACGCGAAGGTACGCTAGGGCGCGAAGGTGGCTTATTAGGTGGTTTGGATCCGTTGGGTGTGGAGGGCGGCCTTGATTGCGGAGGAGGCCTTGGCGGCGACCGGTTGGATGAAGAGTTCTTTTGGGAAGGTGGTTTAGGTGGTTGAGATCCTTTGGTTGCGGAAGAAGAACCTGATTGGGAAGGGGGTGGAGGGGGGGCGGAATTGCTGGACGATGCCATCGGCAGTTTGCCTGGCGGGGATGAAGTGGTTATACGCGGAACGTTGAGTCGCTGGCGCTGCTGATTGAGTAGGTCCTTCATGATAGTTATAGCCTCGTCTGCGGTGAGCAAAGGGGTGCTCCCAGAACCATTTGCCACAGCACCAAATGCATGATGGACGAGTCTCTGGGCAATGGTCTTGACGTCTCGGGCGTTCCCCCAGTTCGACAAGCGTGACATCCGGTCGATGATAATCTCCATCTCGGAGTAAGCAGAAGAAGTGGTGTCAGCCAGCTCAGACAAGGACGACCTGCGTCTTCTGCAATTCCTTGTCGAGCACTTGAAGACACTTGGCCGCCGTCATGTTGGTCAGAGTGATTTCTTCCGAGAAACGACTGGCGAGACCAGGATTGACGCTCAAAAGAGCATTCATTTCTTTCTCATAACCTGCAAGGACGATGACCATCTTGTTCATGAACTTCTCGTTGGTCATGAGCCCGACGATCTCATCAATGGCTTCTTGCGCAAAATTCCCGTTACTAAGCCGGTACGCTTCGTCCACGAAAAGCACTTTGCCCAAGGCCTTCTCGAAAAGTTTTTTTGTCTTCGGGCCGGTGTGACCCACGTATTGCCCTACGAGGTCGGAGGCGGAACACTCGATTAAGTCAAACGAAGAAAGAAATCCCATGTCATAATACACTTGACCGAACTTCCTCGCAATGGTTGTTTTCCCAGTACCTGGGGATAAGCAAAGCATCAACTCCCTGCTCCGGATGAGAAATTGTTACTGACCTGGGGGTCCTTTGAAAATGAAACTCGTTGGAATTTGTTTGCGCATATCCACACCAGTAGCCTTCATCGCACGAGCAATGTTCTGATAGTTGCCCAGCTTCGTCACGATGTCGTCACAACCAACAAGATCTTCGAAGAGTTTCGTCAAATTAGCCGCAGCATTGCGATCACGATCCCAATCTGGATCAAAATCCTGAGGCTCAAAGATCACATCGGAACGTTGATCGGGAGGGATTGATGCTTGACGTTTCTGATAGCGGGTTTTTGCCAGACCGAGCATGTTCTCCACCTCACCAGCATTGCCAAAGTTAGGACGGTTCTTGGCTCTGTTTAGAAGGTCACTGGCAACCTGTTTTGCCGAGTCAGTGGCCCCCAGGTCTTGATCCTTCAGCTTGAAGTCCAAGATATCCCGAAGTTGGGGCTCAGTGAAGTCCTCGAAAGTGAATGCGTTTTCAATGGCAAACCTACGAGCGAGCCCAGGGTTCACATTCTGAGTAGACACATCAGATTTCACGCTCAGTGATTCAAGTGAACATTCGAGCGTACCTGGAACATCTCTTCCATCTGGTCTTTGTATCCCAATAACAAAACACAGCGATCTTCTCCAGGTACACTTTGAATCTCCGCGACCAAGGTGTCAATTACAGTCGTCTTGAATTGATCTTGGGATCCAGAGTTCTTGCTATACAGCATGTAAGCCTGTCAGACAAGGTCAATATTATCACCGACTCGTAAATCTAGGATTGCATACCTCGTCTATAACCAAAACTTTACCAACAGTACTGTCCAAGATAGCTTTGGTGTTCTTCTCTGAATGGCCAAGGTACGCGCCCACAAAATCAGATGGATTCTTGACAACGACTGGAAGAATGTCGTCAGTCAACGGGCAGCCAACAACACAAGAATGGGTTTTCACCTTCATTGTTGCTCAAGAGCCCTAATTCTGCGAGTATTTGTCCATAGAGCTTCGCAACTGTTGTTTTGCCGGTTCCCGGTGAGCCAAGAAAGACGCGGTTCAAAGACATCGCAAGAGGCTCCTTCTCTTGAAGCTCTCGGTGATAGTTCGTGTCGACGATGTCGAAAAAATTACGGACAGATTCCTTCACGGAATCGAGACCTATCATTTTCTGTAGCTTCTCCCAGGGAGCACACTGCGGAAGGACCTGGGATGGGTCAGGACCGATGAAGTCCTCTTTGGTAATAAAAAAATCATCAGCGATCCACCCCTGCTGACGTTGCTTCTTAAGTCGTTCGGCTAGTCTCTGGGCGACCTTCGCAAACATGTTTTGTAATGCCCGAGCATTTCCGAATCCCTCGCGACCACGTCCACGTCCAAGACGACGCACTGCAATTCGAGTATATAAGCCCCTGATGCCATCCTCCACCTTCATCTGACCCGAATATCGTTTCTCCACGAGCGCTTCCAGCATCGTCAGAAGCTCCGGGTC